AGTCAAAAGCTTTCACAAGAGTTTGAATAATTTAAATTCTGCAGATAAACGACTCAATTTTAAATGGAAACTTTGAAGGACCAGCTTCAGTGAGGTATATAATAATATGGCCCGTTGACGAGTTTGTTAAACTACTTGATTATTACCCAATATTCAAAATCCTTTTTGTATTTAAATAGTCTTACTTTCCTTGTTCTTTCCCCCATTTTTTCAAAGTTTGGGTGGAAAACACCTTATAACTTTAATCTTAATTATTATTTGTTGGCACTTAAATTTTTTATAAAATTATAACTAAAAAATTATAATCATGATTAAGTATTACACATATGAAATATATAAAAAAACCATTAAATTAAATCAATTAAACAAACCATGACATAATTAAAAATATTAAATTAAAATCAAACCCACACACCATAAAATTTAAATCTAAAAATTTAGAATTTCATAAGATTTTCCTTGCCATTAAGTTACAGCTTAATAATTATGGGAAAATTTCCTTGTGGAAGAAAAGATAAGATTGATGTCATCTCATTTGATCAATTGCCCATTTGTATTTTTTTTTTTTATTCAATCAATTACCCATTTCTGATTAATCGAGATTATTGACTTGCTGTTTTAAAAGTGAAATAAAAAGTATGAAATGACAAATTGATCATAAACGCCAATCTTCTAATTGGTAATTGAAAATTGGCTATTTGTCAGTTTATGAAGCTGTTAAAATATCACTGATCTCCCCTCTTCCCTCTCCTCCATTAAATATTGTGTGTACTCTAACAGTAATTAGACCGATCAGGGAATGTCGATGAAACCACTTTGGAAGAATATAATTATTCACTTGCAAAGAATGAGAATAATGCCACCAGTGGGCAGTGGCTGTGGCAGTGAGTGGCCCCCTCTGTGTGATCCACATGTTCCGCATCAAGACGTTCTTTTCCGCATTTTAAATTGCTTGTATATCTTTGCTTCTAGTCCTCTAAGTCATCATATATATATATATATATATATATATGTATATATATATATATACATATATATATATATATATAGGTTTTAAACGGTGAGTTTGATCCAATATTGAGAGCCTTTTCGTGTCTATAGAGGGACATAATTAATATTATTGTAATATTGCGACAATTGAAAAATATAGATAATAATATAGTATGACTTGATTTTTATAGAAAAAATTGAAATTGCATTCGATTAACTTGTATCAGGGTTACATAAAGGTATGGCAAATATTTCCACCAAACTCTTTGTATTCCAACCTCACAAGATGAGTCCCTAGATGCTAACCTCAAAGCTGCCATTTTATCACCAGAATTATAGGCAGCGTCTACATTTATCTTTATTGTCCCCGTCGGAGGAGGTAACCCTGATCGATATGCCCCAGCTTGCTTATCCAATGGAATTCATCTACCATAAAAGATCTTCAGTAGTAGGTAGGATTCCACAAACTATGAAGAACAACCACAACCATCTCCAAGCAGGCAGCCTTTGATGAACCTTAAGCTTTTCCTTACCATGTAATCTCCAAGGCCCTAGCCACATAATACGCCGGCCTAACTGAAAATCGTAACTGAAAGTTTTAAATTCAAATCCTAAACAGGAATTAATGAAGATTTATAAGATTGGATTTCAAATATTGAACAGGAATTAATGAAATAGTAATTTCATTGTTGGTATGAATGTCGGAATACAACTCAAGGACTCTCTAACTTTCTCTATCTTATACGTTATTCGATTAAACTTGATAACAAATAGTTACTACTAAAGATTTTACCCTCAATAATTCCCAAAATATATTATGATTTTTTAAAATCACAAAACATAATATATGAATGATATATTCTAAGCAAATTGTGCTCAATGCATATTGATACTTATTGACATCAGTCAAGTCAAATAATATTTTATCAGAACCCAAGCTCTATTAATTCCACATTAAAAGAGGATTAGAGGAGGATCCTATTGAAATATAACTCAACCTGCTGATCTGTCATGAAGCAATTAAACTATGTTTGAGGGATCATTTAATTTCCTTGATAGAGAAAGAAATGCCAATGGAAATGTTGGGATGATGATCAGCAAAACTTTCAAGTACCCTTCAGTTAAAAACTACAAATGCAGCGATGAAGTGTAGAGCATGGCAATGCAATTATGTCATCCACACAAGTTTCACAATCACAGCAACTGCTGCACGTTTGATCATCTACGTCATTGATGGTAATGGGCAATAATTTAATTTGCTGGTGGTCCAAGTTGTACACTATGAGCTAGACTCGATATAATTTACCATAGTGGTAATGTAGAATCTTTATTGACATATATAATATTATTAATTAATAATAAATTTTAAAATTTATATTTGATACAATATCAGTATATAAATTTTATATACCGCCTGTGAATAAAATAATATCACTTCATTAATAAATAAATATCGACTCTTAAAATAAATAAATAAATAAAAATTAATATTTTTTAAAAAGTTTACTTATTAATGAAATGACCATAACAATATTTAAAATATATATACTAACAATACATTGAATATAAACTCTAAAATTTGCCAAAAAAATAATTAATGATAATTAAAGTCATGGATTACGGCTAATATTTCAACACGTAACTCAAGCTCATGTTACTAAGCACGAAATTGCACACCTTTGCTAGCTACATAGTACAGATATTAATCCTTTTATTTCTAGAAGGAAATTTTAGGTATTCTTTTATTTTTTGAAGACAAATTTTAGGTAAACTTAGATTATGGGTGCATTGGGAATTTCTCAAGAGAGAAATTAATTGATCGAGAGATGAACAAAGTCTCTACAAATAAACATCTTAACAGTTAGATCTGCTCGAAATTAAAATTTCATTTTAAAAATTTTCAATTTAAATCTTAAATATGAATGAGGTATGAAATTTATAAAAAATGTGAGTAAGTAAAGAATTATCTTCGATGATATAACTAATAGATTTTGTATGAACAAACACTCTAATTTAATAAAAATGAATTATCACATGATTGAGATGAACTTCAAAAGATTTTTCACTTGATTTTAATAGAGCTAGAAGTAAAAATTGATTGGTTCAATGATATTACCAAAAGGAAAAAGGTTGTATACCATATATATGTATTTTGTCTATCCTTTCCCTTTGTCTTTTTTTCTCGATGGGTCAGTTATCCTTTCATTTCTACCCTCAATCATGCATCCAACTTCAACTATTTTTCAAAAGCTTTGCCCTCTTTCTTACATATCATTGTAATGTCGTATTGTAAGGTTTATATGTCATGTGCAACTAGAATTCTCCATATTTCTATAAAAGGAAATCAAAGTTTTTTTCATTACATCATAAAAGTTCAAGGTATCTATTATATACTTTTATATATATATATATATATATATTTCATAAAAGGATCGAACTTTAAACATGGTTACTTTAACCTAAAAAAAAAACTCAAGTCTTAAAGCAAAGAGAAGAATTGAAAAATTAAAATGGGCAATGACAAAGATGAAAAGCAAGGCACTAATATTAGTAGTGTTGTGCATTGTTTAAAATGCTCATATATACCACACATGGAGAGAAAGGAATTGCAAATTATTCAAGAATGAAGAAAAAAAAAAGGAAGAACAAATGTATGATCAAGTTAAAAAAGCTGTCAGTGCTCAATTACATGGATTATATTTGTTTGCTGTTGACTTAGTTAATAAAAATTTGTGTGATCTTAGAATATAAATTAAGCTATATTGCATAATAATTAAAATATAATTTGATTATATAAACAGTAAGCTGGATTAGTAGGATGAAGATTGTATGTTGTAATGTCCTATAGCAAATTACTAGTTCTTTGGATAAATAAAATACAACTTATCCAAAAAAAAAACTTAATGTACCTCTATGATTGATCCTTTTTTATATTTTTTAATTAAACCTATATTTAATTGTTTATTATCATTAATGAATAAGTTTTAAAAAAAATATTAATTTTTTATATATTTATTTTAAAAATTGATATTTATTCATTAATAAAATATTATAATCTAATTTACTAATAGTATATAAAATCTATATATTAATAATATATCATACATAAACCCTTGAAAAAACTTAAATGCAAATTTAAATGCAGAAAAATATTAGTACTTTTAAAAATAATTTTTTATTGATAAAAGATGCATGATTAATTTTTTGTACATGAATTCATTATATTAAAATCAGATACTTGTTGTCTTATATATATATATATATATATATATGTATATATTAAAATCGGTGCATTTATGATAGTTTAACAAAAATATATATTCGATCCATTCATATGATTTGTTCAGTGAATTTTCTTAGCAAAGGTAAATTATTGTCGGCCAAACAAGGCAATCACAAATTTACGAGGCTAAAAGTGAAGGGCAACCTATAGCTATATAGTCAAAATATTTTCCTTGTAGATTTTCAATTTAAAGACCATTGGAGACTTGCCGCTACCTCCTTTTGTAAACTCGTGGGCACAGTCAGCTAACCAATTTCTTTTCTAAATTTCTTTGGTAAAGAAGAAAAAAAAGTAGATATAAGATTAAATTTTTTTATTTAAAATGATGAATTTTATTATTATATTTCTTAATTTGTTTTAAAAATATAAAAAATTAAAAGTAACAGAATAAAGTCTATATATTCTTTTATTTCTTTATAAATTAGTTTTTACTGTTATTTTTCTATTTTTTAATCAATTAAAATAATACAATTAAGAGATTAGTAATAAATTTAACTCGCAGTTTACAAAGAGTAAATGAGAAATCAATTTGAATCTTATCTAAAAAAAGAATTAATCGGTACGGTTTAGAATAAAAGCACGTGGGTTGATTGTTCACAATTACATTAGTTGACGGCAAAGTACTGGCAGCAGCAGATGCCACTAGTAACTTTGTTCTTTAGCCCACGAGGGTTTTTTCATTATTTTATTTTTTTTAATTTCACCTTTTTCTTTTTTTTGTAAATCTTTTTATTGCTTTTTCTTCGGATGTGGATAATATTAAAGCACCACTACTCTCTTGAAAACTATTTTTAACTACATAAAATTTTCTGAATCTGATTCGTAAGACCTTCAATTCCGCTACCTCTTGTCTCCCTCAGTCTCTCTCTCTTTTTCTTGTACCCTTAATCTCTTTTCTTTCTTTTTTTTAATTTGTCTAAAGTTGATTTTTCTCCTATGGAACTTGAAGCTTCCTGGTTCTTTCAACTCCTTCATGCGTCCTTTTGCTTTCTTTTCTTCACTTCTATTACAATCCTTTCTCTTATTTCTGTCGTGTTTTGCTTACTTAGACCAAAGCTGTGTTGCAACTGTGAGATTTGCAGTGCTTATCTCACTTTGAGTTGGTCGAAACAATTTGACAATCTTTGTGATTGGTACACTCACCTGCTAAAGAACTCGCCTGGCAAAACCATCCATATCCATGTTCTTGGCAACACAATCACAGCCAACCCTGACAACGTTGAGTACATGCTTAAAACTAGATTTGAGAATTTCCCAAAAGGGAAACCTTTCTCCATGATCTTGGGTGACTTTCTCGGTCGAGGCATATTCAACGTAGATGGTGATTCCTGGAGGTTTCAGAAGAAGATGGCAAGCCTGGAGCTTGGGAAGCTCTCGATAAGAGAATATGCTTTTGAGATTATCAACTGTGAGATCAAAGACAGGCTTATCCCGTTATTATCATCCGTTGCAGCTGCCAAAGAACAGCGCGTTTTGGATTTTCAAGACGTGTTTAGAAGGTTTTCATTTGATAGCATCTGCCGGTTCTCTTTTGGGTTAGACCCTAGATGCCTAGAGCTTTCCTTACCCATGTCAAAATTCGCAGCGGCCTTTGACTTAGCCTCGAAATTGTCAGCTGAGAGAGCTATGACTGCTTCCCCACTTGTATGGAAGATCAAACGGGTGTTGAATTTAGGCAGTGAGAAGCAATTGAAGAGGGCTATCGAGATTGTTAATATTTTAGCGAAAGAAGTCATAAGGCAAAGGCGTAAAATGGGCTTTTTAACCCATAATGATCTTCTCTCTCGTTTCATGCGTACCATAAACGATGAAACTTACTTAAGAGATATTGTCATAAGCTTTTTATTGGCTGGCCGTGACACGGTAGCATCAGGTTTAACAAGTTTGTTCTGGCTACTGGCAAAGCATCCAAACGTAGGGTCAGCGATTAGACGAGAGGCAGATCGAGTAATTGGAAAAAACCAGGACCTGACAAGCTTTGAGCAGTTGAAAGAACTAAATTTTTTACAAGCAGCAGTGTATGAGAGTATGAGACTCTACCCTCCTATTCAATTCGATTCAAAGTTTTGTCAAGACGAAGATACATTACCCGACGGGTCTTTCTTGAAGAGAGGAACTAGGGTTACTTATCATCCTTACGCTATGGGACGAATGGAAGAGATATGGGGTCCAGATTGCTTGGAATTCAAGCCTGAAAGGTGGTTGAAAGACGGCGGGGTTTTCTATCCTGAAAACCCTTTTAAGTATCCAGTTTTCCAAGCTGGATTTAGGGTGTGTTTGGGGAAAGAGATGGCTCTGGTGGAGCTGAAAAGCGTGGCACTTTCACTCGTCCGAAGGTTCCAAATCGAATTAGTGACACCACATCGGACACCACGATTCTCTCCTGGGCTCACCGCTACTTTTAGTGGTGGACTCCCTGTCCTGGTACGGGAAAGAAAACCTCGTTCATAAATCTCTCTCAAAGTCATAATTACTCATAGTATTATTGTACAATTGTGGCATTAATGCGATCAGGTAACCAAGTGTGTGGCCTTTACCACAGCATATAGACAGATTCATCGTCAGCGGGGTACCAAGTTGCAGGGCCTGACCTATGATACCCAAATTGACGTATGATTAAATAGCCAATAGGTGCTAAAGGAAAAGTGTTCCCTGTATTATTCGTCACTCATTACAATATCCATCTGATGATTTGTATCGATAGGACATTAGATCTTATTCTTGCGCAAAATTATTTGTGGCTGCTGTTTTTTGACTGTAAAACAGATGGATTTATCCAATTGGATGTAGCTTTATCTCTGTTTATCAGTTCAATCGCACACCACGAATCTATCGCAAGTACTCTATTTTTCACTTGTACAAGTTTGGGTTGGAACGTGAATATATATCTTGATATAATCTAATCCAAATTCTAAATATTTACTTTTTATTCCTCGCAATTGATCAAATGGATGCATGGTCTAGTTTCAAGTCTAAATATATATTACACTTTCAGTTCTGATTCTGGCTAGCTTCACTATCGATCAATATAAATATATAAATATATATAAAAATATATATACACAAATTATGCAGTGAATCCCATTAATAATGATTTTTTTTTTTTTTGGTGATTGAGAAAAGTTAGATGGAAGAGTGTAAATGAACAATTATCCATAATACCTGAAGAGAATTGCTTGCTGTTAAAAAGAGGATTAGACAGTTCATCAATACCTGGGATAAGCCAAAGAGACAGAAAGTGTGAGGTTTAGTTTGTTAACAAGAAAAAAGTCGGTAGTTGGGAAGCCCTAAACAGGTGAGGAAACCCAATGGAAAAGTAGAGAAAAATATGGTGCAAAATTAAAATAGAAAAAACACTTTTGCCTACAAGGTCTTCACGTGCGTCCTTTTATCAGTTTCCCACAAGGGGCTTTTTCTGTGACTGCCACGAGGGCTGCAGTCTTCGATGTCGGTCCTCTCACTTATATATGCACTGAGATGCTTACTAGGAGGACATGGGGGTATTTTACTTACGTGTGGTTGGTTCGAAAATTCTAAAGAAAAAGTGTTGTAAATTATCCCACATGCGAAAATTGCTTTCTAATAAAGACAAATTGATCGAACTGAAAATTAATATAGTATAATTTGAAGTTTCTTTTGATTGATTAATGCAGTTATACTTAAAAAAATTACATTTAATAAATTTGAAATTAAAATTTCAATATTTATAATTATTTTTTAATTTGATTAAACTCAAAATTTTGATATTTGTGGTTTAATTATGAAAATAAACATATGAAGCTAAAGCTTGAAACATCAAACCAAATAATGAAACATCGACAAAGTCGGTCCAATCGTTTTGAATCCACATTTCTTGGTTGGATTAAAATTTATCCTCTTTTTGAAGAAAATGAAAATTAGACTGTAAAATGAAATACCAACAAATAAAATTAATTGGTCGATGTGCGTGCATTATTTACATTATCTTCATGTATATAGTAATGGTATAGTGTTTCTTTTTCTTCAAGACCTTAAAACAAAGGACTAGTCCTTATAATAAGCTTTCCCATGCAAGCTCTTTCTTCAAAGCCAAAGAGACAATAACAGTGATAAAATCTATGGGCTATGGCGATTAGCAGTTGAGCTATTGGTGCAACCAAGCCATTGGATTATCAGAAGGATATGATAAGTAGTTTCCTCTTTAATATTTGTCGTTTTAATTATTTAATTATTGGGATAAAGTGCTATGTATAATGTATCTAAGTATATATATTAAGATTGCATATAAAATATTTTCTTTCTTTTTGGGAATGAGGAGATCAAGTGTCAAGTTCAAAAAGTTAATTAGTCATAAAACATTATACTTTTTTTATTGTTCTCAAATAGAAATGCCTTTTGTATTACGTGTTGGTTGCAAAGAAATTATATAACATAAAGATCGATATATATATATATAATAAAAAATAAAAGGCAATCTAAGTATTGCTGATAGGCGTTTTTAAATAATTCATTATCTAACATTTCCTAACGATTTACAAAGTCATTTTCAACTTTTAACTAATTGGTCTCCGATTCCGGCCTAAAATTCAGTGGGCCTATTTCTTCTATCCTTGAAGATTGACAATGGTGTAGTCCACTTTAGAGGTATATAACAAATTCCGCAGCCCATTCCTAGTTTGATTTTTGGGGTCTCTTTCCTGATAGATTGGTTGGGCCTAAAAGCCTTGTTTTAGGCTTTCTTTGTTATATCGATGAGCTTCGAAGCATTGTCAATGAGAAACGTACCGTCCTATTCCTCTTTTAACTTGGGGTATAACATAGCAGTAAGGTATAAAATAAGAATTCGATATTTAATTTAGATGATTTATGTAATTATTTTTAAAAATGATATTTAGTAGTTTTAGAATTCAAATCTTAACATTTATATTTTTATTTTTATTTTCATATTAAAATCTCATTTGTAAAAAAATGTATATAAAATAAAAAATGAGGAAGATACGATACCATATAAAAAAGAAAAAGAACTTCCAATATAGAATCAATTAATTTATAATAAGTAGAAAAAAATCAATTATAGAATTTGTGACAATATTCCTAAGCATATTTACCATTGCATTCGTTTATTTTCTTAATTACTACTACTTTTATTGCATGCCAAAGCCGGACATTGGAATATATCAGCCTTGCATCAAAATGAGTTGTAAGGGGAGGGGGGGGGGGTAATAAGAATCATGTTTGGAATAAATCTATCACCGACTAATAGAGATCCCAAATAAAAGCCACTAAAATCTCACTTCCATACAAACCATGCAAAATTCCTTTTACTCATGATAATTAACGTAGTCAAATTTTGACTCTCATCACTCACCATTCTGTGCGGTGGGAACTGATCTGTTGCATGTGTGGAAATGGCACTATTACTACTATTCAAGCTCTCTCATGATATTTTGCCCATGATTGGTATCTATTTATAGCAAAAAAAACGACACTCTTTTCACTTCGTACTTTGTATGCTTCGATATAGAGAAAATGCAAAACATTGCAGTACCAATGATACATTGTCTTCTGTCTTTTGCCTGTTGTTTTTTATGTCTTGCAGCTACCTTAGTCCAAGGATCAATTGAAAATGAAAGAAAGGTATATATCTCCTGCTGATCTCTTATACAGAGGAACTAAAGAAAACCCTGTTTCCATAACCAAAAGGACCATTTCACCATTTTTCTTCATAATTGTTTGGTTTCATTTGCTTTGAAACATTAATCTTGTTGTTAATTTGATATTATAATACTTTTTAACAACAGCCATCTATTGTGTACATGGGAGAAGTACCACGTCATGGAGCCAGGATTACTGTCATGAATGAACATAATAATCTGCTGCTGAAGGCAGTTGGAGAGTAATTTTCATTGTTTTCTTTTTTGCTAAACGTTTAATACCAATAAATTATCTGTCATTGAGATTGTTCTAAATGATGTTTACCAATATTTTTCTTGTAGTGAGAGCATAGCCAGAGGATCCAAAATATAGAATTATGGAAAAAGCATCAATGCGTTTGTTGCACGGCTTTTGCCAGACGAAGCAAAGAGAATTTCAGGTCTAAAAGAAATTTTAAAGAAGACTATTTTTCAGTTAGTAATGCTGGTTCTGTTATTCCCACTTCAACCATTGCTGTTCACATTGCTTTGCAGGTGAAGATGGGGTTGTATCAGTATTCGAAAACACGAAGCGCAAACTTCTTACAACAAGATCATGTGACTTTCTGGAAATGCCTGCAAGTTCAAAGAAAAGGGATTCCATCGTGGAAAGCAACATCATAGTTGGTGTATTGGACACTGGTAAACGGAACATGTTTTCTCATTCTTCAATTGGGAAGTTCTTTCTCAAATATTTATCTTTTTGCCCCCTTAAAGGACAAGTTTTTTGACGTTTGTTTTAGGTATTTGGCCTGGATCCCCCAGTTTTAATGATAATAAAGGCTATGGTCATCCACCGGCTAAATGGAAGGGTAAATGTTACAAACGAGCTAACTTCACTAGTTGCAACAAGTACTTTCTCTAACTTACAAGAAAACTACAGTCTTCTTGTAATCAGGAATCTGCCTGATCTTTAACTCTTGAACTATATTTGCTGAAAGATTGAGGAACATTGGACAAGGAAAAAGGTCTTGTTGTTTAGGAATTACAACTTTATTCAAATTGGTTTTCCCGGAATTGTATGAGCTATATATATTTTGAACATATTTCTGTCAGATTTTGACGTTGAACCTTTTCTATGATGGGCAGCAAAGTCATTGGTGCAAGATACTATCAACTAGACAGCACTGCTCCTATAATGGATGACCCAACGCCCGTAGACACTGACGGCCATGGCACCGACACTGCGTCCACTGCAGCTGGCATGCCTGTGAAGGGCTCCAGCCTGTATGGCATAGACAAAGGAACGGATCGTGGCGGCGTGCCATCTGCACGTATAGCCATGTACAAAGTTTGCTGGAGTAGTGGATGCAGTGACATGGATTTACTGGTTGCATTTGATGATGCCATCCATGATGGAGTGGACTTGATTTCCCTTTCAATAGGCGGTACCTCCAGGGAGTTTTTCCATGATCTAATTGATATATGAGCTTTCCATGCCATGAGAAAAGGAATTTTGACTTCTTGTGCTGGAGGAAACGAAGGGCCTATGATTGCAACAGTTCAAAATTTTGCACCTTGGATCTTGACCGTGGCTGCTAGTAGCATAGATAGGCAATTCACCTCAACTATTAAGCTTGGTTATGGCACGATAACTTCTATATGTTTTGAATTCTTTGTTTTGTGAATTTCTGCGCTTGATATTGCATAATAATCATTATAAATCTGATCTATTGCACCGCTCAATATAGGGCAATGGAATCAACACATTTAGGACGAAAAAGATGTACCCTTTTACAAACGGAGCCCATGCAGCCAATCTTACTGGAAATTACTACGGAAATATCAGGTATTTGCATTTTGCACAAGGCAAATTTGGCATTACCTGTTTTTTAAATTGCATTACGCTTCTAATTCAATTATGTTTAAACATGATTAAAGTGCTTGCGATTTTGGAACTCTGAGCAAAAACATGGTTAAGGGAAAGATTGTATATTGCCTCGGGGATGCTGGTCAGGACTCTACAATCAACATGCTGGGCGGGGCAGGAACCATAATGGCTGTCGATGCACCAACAGACTATTACTTCCTCACTCTAACTCTTGCAACCACTGTGGTTCGAAGCAAGACTGGTGTAAGCTTGATCGGTATATTAACTCTACAAAGTAAGTCTGCTTTTTGATTCATTCTTCTTTCACTTCAGACTCTTCGATTCAACAATGAGAAAGCTTATAGATAGTGTTGATGACACGAATTTGATAATGCCAGGAACCCTCAAGCTGTCATATAAAAGTCAAGAACTGTTCGTATGGCTGCCCCCTTTATTGCTTCTTTCTCTTCTAGAGGACCTCAATTATTAAGCCGCAACATTCTCAAGGTAAAATCTTGTCGCCAGCCTCGCCCTTGCTCTGTCTTTGTTATCTTTAATACTTTCTAACTTGAGACTTTCCATGGCAGCCCGATATTGCTGCTCCAGGACTAAACATATTGGCTGCGTACGCAAAACTGAATTCAATAACTGGAGAATCAAATGACCATCGCTATTCTGCGTTTTAACTTATTTCAGGGACATCTATGGCTTGCCCTCATGCTTCAGCTGCTGCAGTGTATGTCAAGTCTTTCCATCCAGTCTCGTAGCCAGCAGCAATCAAGTCTGCTCTCATGACTACTGGTAAAACTTCCAAACCACATATCAAGCAATGAGATAGAATCTCAATACTCGAATCTGTCAAATAACAGACAAAATAATAATTTTCTAATTCGATTACCATATCATTTCTTGCTTTAGCAACACCCATGACAATCAGAGACAAGTATGGGGAACTAAGCTCAGGATCAGGCCAGATAAATCCAGTTAGAGCTGTGCACCCTGGGCTCATCTATGACATTAACCAGAGTTCTTACATTAGCTTCCTTTGCAAACAAGGGTACAATAGCACCACCATTGGCCTACTCACTGGTGGCAAGCGAAAATATAATTGCCCAAGCTTTATACCCGCACGAGGCATTGACGGTCTCAACTATCCTTCCATTCTCATCCATCTTAATGGTACAGAATCTATAATTTCAGCAGTGTTTTACAGAACTGTGACATATGTTGTAGATGGAAATTCCGAGTTCAAGGCAAAAGTGACTTCTCCAAAGGAATTTTCTATCATAGTTATCCCAAAAACGTTGAAATTCAATAGGAAGCATCAAAAGCAATCTTTCAGAGTTTTGGTGAAGGGCGGTTCAATGAAGAATGGGACAGAGATCCTATCAGCTACCCTTGATTGGAGTAAAGAGGGGCACAGAGTTAAGAGCCCTCTTCTTATCTTTAAACAACAATCATTTTTTTTTTTTTTTATTTTGGCATTTGCTTAATACTTATAGCTAGAATTGAATAGTTTTTCAGTCGATTCCTTTACTCCTTTTTGGTATATCGTAACTAATTTTGTCTCTATTTCCCATTGTAAAAAGATCGCCGGTTATATATCTAAATCGCTATCCGAAAATCTTTTGAGAGGAATATTAGACATGGCAATGAAGGAAAAGTCTTGATGTAAGCAAGATTGTGTATCATTGTGCAAGAATGAAGATAAGAGAAAGAAAATGCAGGATAGAAAATCAACCAGAAATTTTCAACATCTCAATCACAGATTCGTACACGTCTTTTCCTGCAAGAGGGTGAAAAACTTGCAGCATATATGTTACAAAAACATCAGTTACATTGGTAACTAATATGCAAACTAATTCGCAGCCCTGTTCCAAGTTAAAGCCTATAAAATAGGGGGAGAAAAGGTATCCATCTCCAATCTAAACCAGCAGCTTAACCCAAAAAATTAAAAGAAAAAAAATCTTGGGAGATTATTAGTCTGTTAAGCTAAATGAAAACAACAAACAGGACAATGAATCTGTGTCTTTGTATCCTACCCCCAAAAAGGAAAACAAAAAGCCTGGAGAAAATGCCTGTAGCCTTGAAAATTGACTTGACAGATGTGCATGCAACCATAATTTAGGCTTTCTCCCATTGAAGGCCTTCTCTGCTTCCGTATTTGTATTTCTGCAGGGGTACAAGCTTCTAGGACTCCCTCTAGTTACAATGACCATCCAAATTTTTGCTAATAAGATCAACGGTGTACCCAGGATTGTCGGCCATAGAGGTTCTTTAGCTTTGTAAGTTCTTTCCTTCTCTTTCTTGCCTCAGCAGCAACCATTGCACCCAGTACTTTCTTACTCTTATAATTTGTTGACTCTTGATTCTGAGCCACTTCAGTATTGGCAACATGATCTAGTGCATTCCCCTGCTCAACACCAAATGTAGTCCCTGCAGAACAAAGAGGTGTAGGCACAAGGACCTCCTCTTTAATGTGGAATCTTTTACACTGAACACCTCCATCTGGAGGAAGCCTAACTGGAGTACAATTCAGGTTATTAGGGCTGACTTCAATTGAGCCATAAGCCTCTTTTTCAACTTCCATCTGTAAAGAGGAACTATATTCGTCCTCGTGTACAACAGATTTCAAAGAACACCCAGCACAAAATCCATTATTCACAGAAGTTGCATCTTTGATATTCTTTGGGCCACAAGAAGGTTGGGGATGCAGACCATTCCCATGATCAGGAAGGGAAAAGAACCAAGGGTAAGGCATTACATATATGGGAGTCTTGGGGCCATTGACATTTATGGGATTTTCTTGATCATGAGATGAATCAAGCCTACCATTAGTTGGTGTAGAAATGCTTGATGGAACAAAAATGGCATTTTGGTGTCCACATTGTGATTGTACCAAATGTGAAGACTGAACAATGGGAGGCCAACAAAACGGGGGGAAAGGGTGTTGGTTATAAAAGAAAAATGGATAGTTTCTAGATGGACCAGAAATCTGATGGGCTAACTTAACTTCTCCAGGAGCTTTCGCTTCCTCTGCTTTAACTGCTCTAGCCATCTGCAGAAAAATATAGCATGTTAAAGAGGTAAAGTATTTTCAGGATTAAAAGGTAGTGAAATAGGTAAAGTACTTTCAGGGTTAAATTGTTCATCGATGTTAATTCATGTTACCTCTGCCTTCAGGTTCTTATTGGTGCTCTCTTGAGACTGGTACTCTTTAAGGGCCAACTCCTTTGCCTTCTTAGTAGGAAGGTAATCAAAAGTGAATAAGCTAGCATACGATATTAAAATAAATTCAACAACAACCAAGAAACTCAAAAGGGTAGAGACCTAAAAACTTCTTTACTTATTTGTTTTAAATCTACTAGAACAGACATACCCTTCAATTTCGGAAGGTCAAGTAAAAATAAAAAAATAAATATAAGGCCTCATTGGAACTCAAGCTGATTAGATGGAAGAGGTGCCACTTACCCTCCTCAAATTTTCATTCTCTTGAGTTAAATCAGCAACTTTTAGGGTCAATTTTTCACAAAGAGCCTGAATGAAAGTACAGCATAAGTGCTCAACAGTGTTAAATATCTTCCAGACATTCTCATTAGACAGAAAATATTTACAGTCAAAGCAAGAAAAAGATACAGGTAAATCAACAAATGCAGACTGATAAACCATGTAAAATAAAATCCAAAAACAAACATAACTGAACATGCAATAAATCAATTACCTGCCTTCGGCGAATCGTCTGCCTAGCTGACTCCCTGTTTGCTAATATTCTACGTAATCTTCGTGCTTCCTTTTCAGTCTGATAGAAAAAACTTTCAGTTGAAATGTAAGGACCAATTATAAAGCAAGAAAATCAAATAAAAAGTCGTTCTACCTCAGTTAAATTCTGTCTTGACCTCCCCCCACAACCTGAAATGAATTTTTTGCCACATGTAGAACTTGATTTGACTGATTCAGCATTCTCCTCAACCTTTACTGATTTCATAAGTGTATTGTTGTCTGTCATTTGATCCTGCTGCCTATCCTCCCAAATATCTTTCTCAGGCATTTCCACTATGCTGAATAATATCTATAATTATAGGGAGCAACCAGTATAAGTAAATCAATAAAATCTGGAAATAAACATACATGCACTATATCAAGCAAACACAACCAACCTGCCTTTCACGAATCATCTAACAATCTGATTCCTTATTTGTTAATGTTCTATGCAATCTATGAGTTTCTTTTTCAGCCTTATCCTAAGAACATTCAGTCAAAAAATAGGAGCATTTACAAAGCATAACAGCAAACCAAAGAAGTTATCTACCTCAGTTACATTCTGTCTAGACCTCACCACCCCATTGGAAGTGTATCTTGCAGCACAAGGATGACTCTTGTTAAGCGACTCAGCATTCTGCTCATCTTCTACTGATTCAACAACTACAGTTGTGCTTGTCACTTGAATTTGCTGCTGGCCTACTGTAGCTCGACCCTGCTATAAACAAAAATAATTTTCAAGTCCTGCACAAAATAGTGTGACTTGGTGACAGATCACTAAATGAGGTCCTATTAAGACACAACACAAACAAAAACCCAACTGGTTTAGCCACTCACATTTGCCGCGTCAGTGATTATTACTTATGATCTAAAATTTCCTAACATTAGAAAACTTTCTATTTTCATCAGTTTCTCCCTAGTTTATCTATGTTCTCTTTTGCCCCATGTTTATCTATGTAATTCCTTCAAATCCCAAAAATAGAAAACTGAAACAAAAGCTGGAAAAAAAAAAAAAGCATACTTCAACATTAAGAAATTTGTTACTATTAACTTCAGATTCTTGTATCACATTTCACATATTAAGATCGATATATATGATTAAAAATTTAACAGGTTATAAGAAAATCAAAAAGTTATTTGAGTGGTTATATTTCATTAACAGAACTACCAGTAAAACAATTTCATTTTTTGAATTACATTCAAAATAAGACATTTCCAGCATTCACAATATAGAATCATTTTTATCAAATTAAATTCAAGCATTATGGGAATAAAAAAGTTTCAAAATATTAAATTTATATTTTTAGTTACAATAAAGAAATTTTTTGGCATTTATTATTTCTACATTTTCAATAATGTGTATTACTAATTACGGACGACACAATGAAAAGCGATTGAACCAAAAAGGAAAATCAGAACTGTTTTTTCTTCAAATGGAAAATAAATACATCAATAATCGAAAATATCAATTAAATTAGGGTGATCCACCAGTTAAAACCAACCTCGGCGAGATCCGAACCCGATTGAAGCGAGTGAACCGGGTTCAAACCGATGTCAGAAGGTGGTGACTCACTACTACTGACTCGTTTACTCACTCGCTTCCCCTTGCATCCCCATTTGGCTGCAAATTCCGTGGCGACACCAACCGCATCCTGCTTCTTCGAATGTGCCAACGCGGCCAATGTCTCCGCCGCCTCCATCTCCATCGGATCCGTCGTCACTGCCTCCGCATCCTCCGCCGCATCTCCCGGCGTCGAAGCCAACGAACTCGAAACAAAACCCCTCTCCAAATCCATCCGGAAGAAAAAAATAAAATAAAAACAGAAATTTTCAAAGTACAAAAGGAAAAAAAAATCGAAAGAGGGGAAGCAGAACACCGTTAACTTCTTTGAAAGGAAAGAAAAAAAGTTTCCTTTCAAGTCTCAGCGGCGCCTTGAGGATGTATCTCAGAGTGCCACGTATAACTATTTTGCCACCTAGACAATCTGTGACTCGTGTGTGGGGTATTGCACGTGGGAGGGAAGCGCAGCATGAAGCAGAGATTGGCATCTGACACATGGATAGGGTGACAAAACAGCACGTGGGATTTTGTCATTTCTCTCTCTTTTTAGTTCAACAGGTAGTCGACGTGTTCTCAAGTTGTTTGAGAGATTACGTGGAAATCGGAGGACCAGGTGATTGACGTTAAGGATTTTCTCTTTTTCTTTTGTCTTTTTTTTATTATTTCTTTTTGCTGTTGTTATTGTTTGTTGGGGTGAAAAGTGGATATTATTCATTATTATACGTAGTAAAACAGTAAAAAAGTGATTGAGTGAATACAGCTGTGTCCACTTAGTCCTAGCTGGCAAAACACTGGAGTGGGTCAGATTTCTTTGATTACCTCTTGCACGTGACCATTGTATGTATATTATTGTAAATGATTAAAATTAGGTATGTGAATTTTATTTATATGAAAATTTGATTTTTTATTTGAATGAGATAAAAATAAATATTATATTATAAATATAAGGATATATATGATTTTAAAATTCTTATTATATATAAAAATAGAGATAGATAATATAATATTTGTTTTATATTTATATTCATACTCCACATAAATATTTTGTATATATATTTTAATAAATATATTTTTAATTAAATAATGTAAATTATTATTTTATATTAATTAAAAGTAATATATTTTTATTTAAATATATATTAATATATTTTTAAAAAATTACTAAAATAAAATTTTAATATATTTTATTTTTTTAAGTTACAAATATAAAAATTACACATACCTATTAAATATCTATAAATATGAAAATGAGAATAAATTTAAAATACTTGTTGAATATGAATAAGACAATAAAATATAATATAAAAACCAAAAAATAAAAATGAAAAATATCCTACTCATTTCATATCATTTCCATTGACATCTTTAATTGAAATTAATTTTATAATAATTTGTCTTACTTTTAAAGTTTTTTTAAATTCAATATCATCTTCTCCTTTTATCTATCAAGGTTCTTAGAGTTTAAAATAAAATTTTCTATAAAATTTTTAAACAATTAAGAGTTGATGCAAAAATAGGGATACTCATTCAACTGAAAATTTTTAAATTTTATTATAATAGATCAAATTTAATTCAACGATAATTGAATTAAATTAAATTAATTCAATCAATAATTTGATTGATACTAAAATATGAGCTTCTTTAATGTGCAAATGTTCTCATCGCATTGGAGAATTGTTTTGGGATAGGATACTTTAAAGAACCGAGTCTAAATTTAATATAGTTTTCAAACTTTCAATGATAAAGCTATGGTAAAATGTTTAGATTTAAATTTAAAATTTGTCACATAAGTATTTGGTTCAATTTTATATGAATTTTAGAAATTATTTTAATTCGTTCATTTATTTCTTATATTGAATTAATAATATTTTTTATATTTTTTATCCCAATTAATTAAAAAGAAGAACATAAATCATATTTTATTGATTGTTGGGCTACTTGATGAGTAAGAATTTACAGGGCCTAACATTTTAAAGCTAGAAATCCAAATTTAGTTTTGTATTTTTGGACATATTGATTCAAAACTCCAAATTTAATTCAGCCCATATCTAACTTGCATCTCTATAAGAGAAGACAACAAGGCTTCTAACTTAAAGCCCATTTGGTTTTTTTTTCCTATTTACTTTGAGAGAAGGTACAGGTAATAATTTTTTGTTTGTAAAACGTTGACAATTAAATTCATATAAATATATATATATATATATAATATGCTAAAGATTCAAGTATTTATTTTATGAAAATGAAACGAAAAATGGAAATAATTAGGCCTTGTCATGGCGCACCACTGAGATTAAAAGGATCAAGTTGGAGGTCGGCAAGAAACATGAATGTAATATGAGGATATGGTTGGTGGTCTTATAAGATCTTTCATGACTGTAAAGTGTGGCATATGTAAAGAACCATGAAAATTGATTTAAAAAAAAAAAGGCCAACTTAATATGTAATTAGAGGCAGATGCATTGAACCGCATGTAAAATGTGCAACTATTTTATCAATACTTGAATTTTATGAGTAATAGAAATATCAAAATTCAGCTTTATTTATCAACAAAAATAATTCTCCCTAATTCCCCTTGAAAAGTATAAAGTTTAAATTTTGATTTTGTCTTAAATTTAAAGATTTTTTCTTCGAAATTCAGAGGTAATTAATCATTGTATTTAATGTAGGAATTCTTCCAAAAAAAGTATTTTGCCAAGTAGTTTCAACTATTGAAAAAAAACGTGTTTTTAGGATACTTCATTAAAAAATCCAATATTTTAATTGGTAATCCACTTTCGTGTTTAATTAAAATCAATCTACTAATCCCAAGAGGATTGTGACAAATTGATGAGATTAGGATCAATAAAAGTGACAATGACTTTGACAAATTTGATGGTGGGGTTGAGCATTATCAGATTCTGATGATGGATTTACACAACAATTATTGGAAAAGCAAAGCAAGATAAAGTTATTTTCTATTCTTTCATTGTTTAAAGAGTTGACTTTGAAATCTTTTGTCCCCAGTATAAAAAAAATATTTCTTTTTTTTTTCCTTTTTCATAGCACAAAGGTGAGTGCCTGAGTGGTGCGCCAATTTGCCACTCGCCAAAAGTGTTTAAAAAAATATATAGATGATTCACACAAGAGGGAAGGTGGGCAACTGCACTCACCAAATATTTTTGGAGAAACTGAACTGTTTGACTTTGACTTCTATACGACAAAAGAAAAGTGACTTAAAAAGTAAACAAGGCCGGGAAGATGGCTTTGTAGATATAATCAACCAACTTCCTTTCTCTTAAGAAATTACGAGTAGGGTTATATGACTCTAATCAAATGGCTTTAGCCGCACTCAAAACAGAGCTCAAGAATTTTGTTCAATCTATGTTTGAAGAGGTACCCATGTTTGATGATGTTCCCTTTCATTGTTCTTGTCCTAAAGCATCCTTATAATAGATTTTCATGTAAAAAAATAGTAATAAAAGATTTCATTTCTAGCAAAGAGTTATAGGATTTTATATCTCACTTTCAATTATCTTGCTGGAGAGTAAGCTTTAATTGCTAATACTTAATTCTTTAAGATCATTTGGAATCTGAAATTTATGTAGTAAAATATTTCGTATGCCATTCCATTTGGATTGAGGATTTTGCCAATTTTTTCAAGAAGAATTCCAAAATCGATATGGGTTATTATTGGAAATATTAAATATGGCTTATTTCCTTGTTGTTGAGATGTGTTATGACTTAGATTTTACTATTGAGCTTTTATAATTGTGTTGTTTTCCAGGGAGTGCTGGATAGCCAGTTCAGTCAAATTCAAGCTTTGCAGGATTCGAGTAATCCCAACTTTGTCGATGAAGTGATCACTTCGTTTTGCAGTGATGCAGAAAGGATCATAACCGAATTGAACAGATATTTGTAATCTCAAACCTGAGATGCTACTGTATGCTGTTACCATTAACCTTAGTTAGAATACTTTCTGACTCGATCTTGTATCCTCATCAAATTTCATGTCTGCAGGGGTTATCAAAATGTTGATTTTAGCAAGTTGGATTCTTATGTTCATCAACTTAAAGGAAGTAGCTCAAGGTAATATAGCTGTATCATTTGGCTTCTTAGAGATGATTTCTTTGTGCTTTTGCTAACCTTCCTGTAATTTACATGCACAATTGCTGATGGAAAACTTGTTCATTTTGTCCATTGCAATTGTATCAGATAAGAAATCATTTCCTTCCAAACTTTAAAACACCACTCTGTCAGTTTAAAACACCCCGTGATCGAAAATTTCTAAATGTTTGAAAGTTTTTGCTATAGTTTAAATTATGAGATTTTCTGCTTTTGAGCTATATTTTGGAGTAATTACAACTAATGGATGAGAAATAGCAAACCAGGGGAAGCACATGTTCATGGTAGCTTTTCTGTATTGTCTTTGTCATCCATGATTGAATTTCTTTGTTACAGAAGAAAACAACAGTTTATCTGGTGCCCTTTTTTCTGCCAATCTCAAAGTCTATGTTAGTATCTTACTCATTTGACGATAATTATCCATGGAGATCTAGTTTTTTAACTTTTCTGTATTTGCTCTTCCAGCATTGGTGCACATCGCTTGAAACTTGCTTGTGTTAACCTCCGTCAAGCTTCTGATGACCGGAACAAGGAAGGGTGAGAATGTGCATCCGTTTTTCATATTCGTTCTTCAATATTATAATTTAATACTATTATGCAATTGTTGGCATGTAGCCATGTAGAAACTGCTAGCACACAAGCAAAAACTTAAGACCACCATATCCTTTTCCTTTCCCCATGAAAACTAAACAAACCTTCACCCAATCAACTAGATATATAAATATCATCACTCCTCTTACCTATTTATGTATTATATCAAAACAAGTAATTCCAGAAGTAGATATCTACTGTGATGAATCATGATATTTTTTAGGGGATGTCTACTTATAATATAATATAATATATATAAATAAAACTTACTATAGATTTATCAATTTTATTACTGAAAAGGTATTCGGGGGGAAAATATTGAGAGTATCCAAAGAAAATTTTCCTTCAAATTTTTTTATTTTTCAATATTTGGAGATATATTTAACCTTATCAGACAAATGAGTTTAAGGCATGTAATTCCACTTGTATGATACTTTTGACTGTTAGTAAAATTTTTAATGGTTTTCTCCAATTTGATAAATTTGTCGTCTATGCAGGTGTGTGCGAGCTTTAAATTTAATCACACGCGAATACTGTCTTTTGCGCAGCAAATTCCAGATCGTTATTCAGGTAATGCATGGTTTTATGGTATTAAGAATAATTGGTTTCAGACACTCTGATCTGACAAAAATATAGCATCCATGGTAAAAATTCTGTAAATTTATATAGCAAAAATTAAACAGAATGATGTGCTGCTGTCTGATTTTAACTTTTGCTTGGAAATCAAGTACTTTTTTCTTGTAGTAAATTTACCTGTTCCAATAATTTCCACATTTCTGATGGTGCAGCTGGAGAGGAGTATCATTGCCCTTGAGACCAACCAACAATGAGTAGATAGCATTAAAATGCACTGCCGGTTGTCAACCTAAATTTTGGAGGAACAATTACCATTTATCTTGAAAAGGTCGACATTGTTTCTTCATTTTGGTTTAACTGAATTTATGGCTCTTTGATGTTGAGTTTAGCTTCTTTTTACAATAAGTCACCAAGGAATCAGTTGGTGTTTTATATTGTTATGTATTAGACTTATGGTACAGGTATGGTTAAGAATGTTTGCATGAAGATAGACAATAAAATGTGCTCTTTTTTGCCTTTTTTTTTTCTTTTATTGGATTATAGTTGTCAAATGGCCATGGGGTTTGGTTTGATAGGATCATTTATTGCAAATTTTTTTAATATTTTCACTTGCTGCACGTCTTTGTGGCATCCCCATAAAATATAAGCAAGACAGCAAGACTATCAAAGTTTGTAGAGAGCTGGAAAAAAATTTTATAGAACTGAAAAGGATTAAAATTGAACTCTTTGAACTAGACGATAATTGCATTCAGGGGCGACTATAGGGGCAAGCAGGGGCCATGACTTTACAAAAAATTTATAATATTATAGTTACTATTTTGACCCCGGAGCTTGGCCTCACCTTCCCAACTTGGTTTACTGCTCGCTTCGCCCCCTGCCTGCTCTTATAAAAACAAAATTTTAGATTAGAGAGACTTGGAAATGTAATCCAATGGCAAAACATGAGTATAGGGGCGTCAAGCGTGTGGACTGGTAGTTTAAAAGCAACAACGTAACGGGCAGGATATTTTGCAGATGTTAATGCTACAAGTGTCACCTCTTGTACTATGACTTTTCTAGCTTTCCAATCAAGACAAGCAATTTTGGAGTTCGGTCAATCTTTTTTGTGTAGTATCAATTGGTAATGGGGTCCATGGTGTAATTATTGGTACTCGAAACAATTACCAACAGGCTTAGTTGAGGAGTCCCTTTGTCACCTAGTTGAAGTCTCTGAGCTCTGAGATATTAGAAACGGCATGACTGATTTTGTTGATTCCTTGAATAGAGATTAATATTACCAGTTATCTCATTAAAAAAAAAAAAAGGAGCTGGTTTTAGCCTGTTCCGGTACCAGGAGGACTGCAGATAATTTTGTTGATTGATGCATCTCGTAATTATATGAAACATCCACCAAAGCCTGTCAGCATAATGCTATCAGAAAACATGGTGGAACATACAGCAAATGCATACTTATGAAACGCATTAGATGATACCTTGATAATGCTATTACCATTTCAAAAATGCGGAAGTGACATTAAAGCAGATGAGATATTTGCATTCACTAGGGCATCCATTATACTAGACGCACAAAACTTGATGATAAACTAATGGTATATTACAGTCGGATGAGAGAAGTCCTATCAGCATTAGATTCATTGGATGTCGGCTAAGATGCAGTTGGTGCAAGACCACCAAGACGCATGTATGCCGAAGGTGTAGTAGGGGCACGTGGCGTTCTTGGAGACGGGAATGGTGAAGGGGTGTGAGGAGTTCTTGGGGATAGGTTGACAAACTCTAATGCTTGTTGTCTCAGTTCTAGAGGGTAGTCAGCAACGCACCCAATTCGTGGCCCAGCCCCAGTTGACCATTTGAGTGACAGCTGATGTCCTAATTGGTATGATTTGGCTGCCTTCTTCGAGTTGATCCTCTGCAATATAGCATTTTTAGGCACATCAGCTCTAGGACTCTGAAGACCACCAGATAGAGTCCTTTTGTAATTAGTTGTGGTCTCCAGTTGATCAGAAGATTCTAATGACAAATTCTTCTCTTCATTGTCAATTTCAGGTTCAGCAGGAACTGAGCTTGTTGAAAATTCAACTGCAATCCCACCACTGCTGGATTTGCCTTCATCATAGCTATCAGAATCATCAATTGCCCGGCAAATCTGAACACGAGATAAATGTCAGTCATCACTTTTATTATGGGAATGGAAGAAGGAAATGGCATGATCCATTCAACTGAAAACGGAACCAGAGGTTCAAGGATCACAACCAACAAGTATAAGAAATAACCAAGCAGACATGTACTTGTTAAATCTTGCAATTTTTGCCAGAGTGCTAAACAACTGCCATTTTAGGCAACATTTGTATAACACAATTCCTTGATGCAACATTGAAGCATCAAATTTTCAGCTTGACAATTAGTGAAGAGAAAAAGGATAGATTGAAAGGTTACCTGAACTTCACTGAGGTTCACGCCATTCTCCCTCAGAAAGGATAGAAAACTCTCAAGACTATCATTCGTTGGCCGGTAATGTCCACTATATGCAGAGATGGACTGAAAAATGAAGAAAATAAGTTCTCAATACATCAGCCTATTGTATCAGAACCTTAAAAGATTGCCAACAAATAGAAGAAAGAAGACACCGATGAATTAATGATGTCAAATTGATGAACTATCCAGGCATTTAAATACTACCAACACAACGGCAGCAGGTAACATTCATGGTACACTACCAAATCCTAAATAAAAAAGAACCATACCTTTAGTATTCCCCGCTCGGCCACCAGCCTACCAGCTGCTAATGTCGCTCCTCCAGCCAAGAAGCTAGAATGATGAAACATTCCTTTCTTCTTCTGCAAGGTACAAAAGACATTTCAGGTTTTTAGATGTCTTCAAGCTATCAAACCTTGCTCTTCTGAGTCAGATGCTTACCTCGCCAGCATACAATTTCTTGGAGGTACTCATAACAAATATCCATTTACCCTCTTTCAATCCTTGGATTGTATCAAGGACACTTCTAGTTTGTTTATGGATAATCTTTCCTTCAACAACAATGTATTCATAATGCTCCCTCTCTTGCTGTTTCCCCACCAAAAGACAAAAAAAAGAAATCAGCTTTCAGGATTTTACAACAACTGGAATTAACAATTTCATACATCTCATTTCAAAATTTAAATCTAGCTTGAAATCTAACATATCAAGGCACACACAGGTCCAAGATACTTGATGCATTGTTGTCGAAGCTTCGATCTCGGACATTCTTTGAGATCAATTTCTTTCCCATCCCCTATATCTAACCTGTAAATAGCACAAATGAAAAACTCCATGAGCAATCAACTGCTTTTAACACCTACTAACTTAAGCAACCCTTTGAATTCATAGTGTAATTATAAAAGCAAAATTTTTGGGCTTACCAGTAGAAAAATGGCTGACCAGCATCATCTTTACACCACTCATCATAGTAAATATGCAAATTATGCCCATAGCGATGACGTGGATCAATCTACAATTTAAAAAAAATGTTGGAGTCAATCAATAAAATTATCCAAAATATTTTGTTTCAAAAAGAAAATCTGAGAGTAAAATTACAGCTTCAATCCAATGTTGAAAAGCCAATTTTTGTGCTTTGGCGTCTTTGGACAATCCTTTCCCGACCTGCCAAAATTCCAAATTTGATTATTTATGCACATAAATTAATAAAACAATAATTTGTGAAAAATTACGAAAAAAAGGACAAAACAATGAAAAATCAAGAATAGCCGTCAAACCCAACTTCTAAAAAAACAAAAATTTTTAATTAAATGATAAAGAAAAATGAAAAAAAAAAAAAACCTTGGAAGCATTTAAGCCAACACGATTCCACCTTGAAGCAGGAGTTTCTGGTTTCAAATAATTAAAAAAAGAAATTGTGCTGTGATTAAGCCTGGCATAATCTAAAACCAGCCACCTGAAAAAAAAAAAATCATACCCCAGAAAATATATTTTTAATTTAAGAAAACATAAATTTTAAATAATATAAAAAGAAAAAAAAAAAAAGACAAAGATTTTATGAACTTACCAGAGTTCTTCAGCGACAACAGCGGAGTCAGCTAACCTACGCCGTGTCCGATAACTCCTGTAAACTTTCTGGACCTTAACCGCCGCGTTGGAATGACAACAAGCACCACCAGGAGCGTGATTCGAACTCGAAAAATCTCGACCGTCGATCATCGACTCAACCGTCATTTCAAAACCACCGCCATTATCCTCCGACGGAGAATCCGATTTGCTTGCTTCTTTCGGACTATCCATAGACGAATAATCGGACGGTTTGGAGCCCCCACGAAACCCATTGTTCTGAAGGTCCGAAGAGGAAATGTTATAAAACGGAGAATTTGACTGGAGATCGAAATTTGAAAAAGCTGTTTGAGTTTCAATTACTTCCATAGTTTTTATTTTACTACAAAACTTATTCCAAATAGTTTAAACCAAACAAAGCCTTAGAATTTGCACGAATTTTCCAGAGAGAAAAGAAAAAAGAAAATCTTGGGGTCGCAGGTTTGGAGAGAAGCAGAGAGCAAACAATATAAATAGCAGAGCCGAAGGTTTTCGGAAAGCCCCCGGGAAACCTACCTGGCAATATTATTATATTCCACTGGGTTTTAGTGAAGTGCGTGTCTCACGCGCTAAGGTTGAGAGTCGGTTTTGCTGTACCTCGCTTGTTGTCGTGACAGAAACTAGAAACTAGGAGAGGGTAAGTCTGTGCATCACGTGGTTAAAATTTTTTATACATATATGATCGAAGTTTTCAGGGTTTCCAAGACACTTTCGGTTTTTTCCTGGAAGGAGAAGACTGGAAAATACTAAAGCATTTGCACCACCACCACCCCCCCCCCCTAAAAAAAAAAGAAACAAAGAAGTGGAAGATTTTGATAGCGTCCCCTCTGATCACTCTGTTCTTGAATGTTTTTCTTTTTTCATCTGAAGAGAATATTGGAATCTTGAAAGTGTTTTAATTTAGTTTAACTTCTGATTTTTTTTTACTACTTTATTGTGTTTTTCCATTGTCAGATTCAAGGGATTATTTCTTGGTTACTAATATCAAATGTATACTAAACTTTTTTTTATATAATTGTAATGGCAATTATAAATATGCATTCCCAAAAGAAAATTACTGATGGGAAGTTATTGGATAAGCCCTTCCCATTCCACAGTTAGGATGAAAATGTTTATTTGGTAGAATTGAACTTTAAATTTAATTTAATTAATTTGTATATTCATTTAGTTTTAAAAAATATAATCCAACAGATTTATAATTGAAATTTTAATATTCATAATTTTTTTAATTTTCAAACTAATGATATCTTTATACAAAAAAAAAAATATTTAGAATTTTCTTGTATTAGATAATTTGAAGGATCACATATAATCTATTTGAATTAATTATAAATGCAAGGACACTTCGTTCTTTCTTCGAATATGCCTTTTTTACTGTGTAAGTGTGCGCCTCTCCTCATTCGCAGGACATTTCAATATTTTCATAATTTCATGTAGAAGTTGATCACTTTGAGGCAATCATTTCAAAATTCAAATACATAAAATGCAATGTTTCATATATTTTCAACCTTAATTTTCTATATTATTATGTTTTTTTTCCTAATAATTCATACACGCCTCCACAGCAAGAAACTGCCCTTCAATTCCTTTTTTATGATTTATTTGCTAGAATTATTGGTACATGGGTTGTGCCAGTAAAGTCCATTTAACACCAAGAATTATAGTATGGACTGTAATTACAACAAGAATTTAGTAGCTTTTTTTTCTCTAAAATCTCCATTTTTTCCACATTGATATTTTATAGTAGTACTTATGTCTCTATGGGATAAATCCCACATTGAACACACTTTGACGTGCCTTAATCTTTGACTCTCTTGTATTATCTCTTCTCACTTTTTTTCTCATCTATAATCAAATAAAAAAAGATTAATTATTTTCAATAAATACGAATACATACATTTGGAAATTTGACCATGCATTATATTTAAATTAATAATAACTGTTAAATTTTAATAATTTATTTACTCATTTAGTAACATATATATGTGTGATTTTGGTTGATTCTTATTTGTTCATAATTTTGTAGAAAATTTATAGCAACAATTAAACAAATTGCTCAAGTAAATAACAAAAACATACTTACAAGCAAATCACGGCAAAAATATTTTACTATTATATATTTCAAAATGATAAAATAATTTATAACATGATTTCAATGTTTAGCATACGATCATAGTAGGTCAAAAAAATCGAATCCCAATGTGATTCAGTGTTGAATTTTTTGTTTTGTTTTCTTTTTGAAATTTGAATATGTAACATGCATATCTCTTAATAAAAACTAAGTTGACCAACATAGAGGATCTAATAAGGGTTTTTTTTTTCTTTTTTTTTTTTTTTATGGACGGTGCCATGCATCTAACCCTAATTAACCTTTTTTTCACTGGAAAAGGACTCTTCCATCACCAGTCCAACGCCCTCCAACAGACGAAAAAAAAGGGGTTGATTAAAGTGCAGTGTAACGAGGAATCCTTGCTACATTAATGTATTTTACAGTCCATCTAAATATAATTTAAATAAAGTTATATTCAAAAAATAATAATAATAAAGTGTGATTTTGTACACTATCATAATTTTTTTAATTTCACAAATTTGATTATGATGATATTACATGTCCTTTTTTTAATTGTTTTTTATTGTATCTTAATGGATGTATATCTTATTGTTAATTTTGAAGTTTAAAAACTTTACTTATAATTTCTTATCTAAATATACTTTCAATTTGTGGAACTAAAGCCAATGACCATCCTTTTCTTAACAACCTAAATCCAACAGCCCTAATAAACATGAGAATAAATTCATCCAACGGCGACAATAATATTATATTGTTCAAATTTTATATATTTATATATACTCTAGATTTGATTATGCGATAGTTGTACAAAGAATTAGTATGAATATATTATCAATTTTATAAGTAATATTAAGATTTTTTTATTTTAAAATATATCATAAAAGATTTATGTTATTTTATTAATTTAATTTGTGAAATCTAAAAATTTCACTAGTAATAGATTAAATAAATTTTTTGATATTTTGATTTTACAAATCAAATTACAAAATGACAAAATTTTTTAATGTATATTAAAAATTAAAAAATAAAATATATGTCAACTTTTTATTTCATTTGTAAAATTAAAATTTTTTATTAATTTCAATGAAATTACGAATTAAAAAATTTATAAATATTATCAAATATTATATTTATATTAAAAATAATTAAATAATCAATCAATAAATTAAAAATATAATTAAATAAATTTAATATAAAATTAAACTAATTCCGCGTAATTTAAACCTAAATCATCAGGATTTTAGAAAAAAATTTTTTACTAATTGAAATAACATTTTCGATTGTAAAAAAGAAAACGTACTTAAAGATGTAAATTTCTTGTGGTTGGAGTGTTTTACAGTTTTACTGCTTTGGTGTGACATGCCAAGTCAGCACCACAGAAAGAAGAACTTGGATCAGACGCGCAGACGATAAGTGTGAAAAAGTGAAGGTGGGACAAAATGGCAATTACGTGGGACCTTTGCCTCTCATTGGCGTTTCTCCCACGCGCGAATCTGGCAATAGTTGTTTTAAAGTGTCAGCAAAAACTGAATTTGGCTTTGAAACCACGATGAGCTTTGATTAAACAGTAATTAATTAATTAAAATTAGAAAGACTTTTTGCTGCTTCAAAGTCCACAGCTACTTTGGGCCATAGTATTTTTACGTTTTGGTCAAGCCACGTGATATGGTTGGGTATTAATTAACCTTGGTTATGTATGTTATTACATTTGTGCCATCCACCGTGGATTTTAAAAAACCAATCAAAATCTGTCATTATCTTAAACTAGCAGTTTGCGTTTTGGTCAAGCCACGTGATATGGTTGGGTATTAATTAACCTTGGTTATGTATTTTATTACATTTGTGCCATCCACCGTGGATTTTAAAAAACCAACCAAAATCTTTGTCATTGTCTTAAACTAGCAGTAAAGAAATAGCGACGAGAGACCTAATTTTCCTTATATCATTACCATAGATGCTATCATTTTGATTTGATAATAAAAAATATATATATTCTTAGTTTTATTTTGATAACTTATTAGAACTTTATGTTCAATATATCGAAAAGTAAAAATTAATAATAATAATAATTAAAAAATAGATTCACTTATATTAATATAAGAATTGTATATTTTTTATTTTAAGTCAAAATAATTAAATATAAATATTTTAATTTTAATTTAAAAATAAAAAATTTTGAAAAGTCTTACAAAATTTTTACTCATAATAATAATAATAATAATAATTATTATTATTATTATTATTATATAACATCATAAATTAACATTGACTTAAATGCACAAGGTTCAACCATCATTGTACTACTAATCGACCGGATGTCCAATTAAAACTCAGCCAGTTTTGGGTACAATGTTGTCTACCCATCTTTATGATTGTGCCATATGAACCACATCTGTAGTTGGCTACATTAATATTTAACATTACAAATAGAAATGGAAAGACCAGTGCAGTCAAGGGACCCCATTCACTTAAAATATTAGGTGTGTGAATCACATTTCGTTCACTTTTTTTTTTTTGGTCTCATCAATAATTGATGCATTATTTATTTTTAGCATGCTAACTAATCCTGTAATTCTTTGATTTCTAGATTATGGTTAGGTTGCAGCTCATTAGAAAATGACCCCAAGGCCCCAACTCCCCAACGAAAAAAAAAAAGACAATATTAAAAAAATTTTAAAGGTGATTGTAGGATTAAAAATGATTTTTCGTATTTAAATACATATACATTGGTTAAGGATGGACATGCTACTGCAATAAATAAATATCAATGAAGGTTGAAAACAATCATTTTTTTATTTTCAAAACTCGATCTTGAGCAAAGGATTAGGGTTAGAGAATACATATTACTAATGAATTAAACGTTTTGATACATTTTTTTTTACTTGATGATGATGAAAATGTCTCCTAATTAAACCTTTTCTTATTGAGTGCCAGATTTTAAAGTTTATTTTGTATGTCTGGTCATGTTTCTTTGTCTGTTTACTATGGTGGGAGTCTCAGTCATCACTTTTTAGTTTTGGATGTTTGCAATGTTATTTTATTCCAATGTTTAGGAAACCCAAAACATTAGTATCATTTTAATTAATTTTAATTAAAAAATAATGGAAAATTAAATTAAGAAATGCATGAGAAAAGATTAAATCTTTGTTTTTATTTCTTTTACCTCGTTTAATTTGGAAAATATTTCTTTTATTTCTTAATCTAATTCTATTATAGAAACTGCTTGGGATTAAAATTAAATTATTTCCATAAAAGAGTGAAAATAATTGGTAGAGCAAAGATGCTCAAGGGAAAAAAAAAATAACTTCAAATTATTCAAGCTGGCATATGAACTTTTTTCAAACTTATCACTACAAAACAACCTCTAATAATACTTACTTAAGAACAAAACTATCAGTGACCAATATATTATCTTAATTATCTTTATAGTCTAGTTTAATAATAATAATTATTATATACTCTTAATTACTATAATAATCTAATACAATATAATTATTCCGACAAAGAATCTATGTTTCTGCTCACAAAACTTTTCAAGGTCTTAGTCTTTTGGCCTCATTCTCTTAACTCGCTTTCTTTCTTTAATTTATTTTTCCAACACGATAGAAACTCAATATCAACGAGAGCTTTCCTAGATATTTCATGCAAGTTGAATATGTGTTGTCTTAAGAATATATAATTTATTTATAAAACAAAGTGCACATTTTTATAAGTCATATATCCTTCGTTAACAAAGTACATACGAGCCCAATGTAACGTCCAAAAAACTTCAACGAGAATAATGTTTTTTTTGTTTGATTTTCGACTATTAATTAACTACTTACGAATATCAATATAAGTATAATAAATAGTGATCAAAGCAAGTACTGATGTTATTGACTATTGTTTTCGACTCTCATCATCGTAATAAGAGAAGGTCGGATCGGGTGGGGAAAAAGAAAAGAGAAGAAAACAAGAAAAAGATGGACTCTACTACCGAAAATCTAGGTCTTGAGGCCTGAAGATTTAACAGCTCAGTTTCCTAAATGGAATTGGGCCACTTCAATGGAGGGTGGCTGAGTCATTTTCTCGGACCCGATGGAGGTGGTTCCTCAACTCAGATAGATTTGTGGGCTTGACCCAAACACAATGCTTTTTGAGCGTACTATAGAAAAGAAAAAAGAAATGGAAAATTATCTTATTTTTTATAATTTATAAAATTCTAAATTACAAGGAAAACACGGTCTAATTTAACATTATTATTGCAATTAGATAATTTTTTGATTGAAAAAAGATATGGTACAAAAAATTATTAAAAAAATTTAAGTCTTTAGCATTGTGTTGAAAAACTATTAAAATGAATTAAAATTTCAAAAAATATGTATAAAATAATAAAAATTTTAAAAATACAAGGATAATAAAATTATCTTAACCACAAAAATTATGGTCGGTATAAAATCACATCTCTAGGAGTTTTTGGTTTGGTTTATAAATTAAGTTTTTAAATTGAAAAGTTTCTATTTTTATTATTTAATATTGAAATTAAATGAAAAGTAATTTTAAAATGCAAAAATCACTGTCAATTTTAATACTAAACTAATCCTAAATTTCTTCAAGGATAAACAAAAAGAATATTTTCACTTTGATAGTTTTTTTTAAAATCAATTTTATTAGTATATAAGTATTCACAAATATAATGCTATAACAAAGTACGCAAAACGGTGCGTTGTAGGAAGTATTCAACTGATCTAACATTGGGCTTAAAAAAACCTAAACCCGGATCCATTGTCGTATGACCCTCACTCTTTCTCCAACTGTAACCCTAGAACCTGGTTTTGCATGCGATATAAAGCTGCCAACAGCCATTTATATTCAAGGACTTCTTCCCTCACCGCTCCAGATCCATAGCATCTCTGGTTTTGCCACTCTCCTTTCTTCTTCTCTTGTATTCATTAATTTTCTTTGGTTTTCTCTTTTGAGTTTTTAATTTAACTGTTGTTTTTGTTTATCTCAGTTTACAGGGAAAAAAGAAAAAAGAAAAAGGGAGAGAGAATGAAGGTAGTTGCTGCATATTTGTTGGCAGTATTGGGAGGCAACACCTCCCCTTCTGCTGATGATCTTAAGGACATTCTTGGGTCTGGTACAATTTTTCCTCCCTTACTCTTTTCTTTTTTATTCATTTAATGTCACTTTAACTGTTTTATTTCCTTCATCTGTTTCAACATCTGCAATTGGTAATCCGTTCATTTTTAAATTGTAAACCATGTTTGTATATCTTCTAGATTGAACGTTTTTTTTTTTACCAGGTGGATCTGAAAGTTTATATTTGATGTGCTGAAATCTTTAGTTAATGAATGTCAATTTGATGATGAGGTGGCTTTCAATAAAAATATAAACTTGTATTTGTTTGTGTTTTGGTTTGAGATTTACGTAAATGTTAGAATCCTTTGTGCAAAATATGTTTGATGTATAGTGAATTTGTTGTTTATCTGTTTTTCTATTTTATTCATCAAACAGTGGTTTAACAATTTACTACTGTTGGAGGAAGAAAAGTTGACTTTGTTTCAAATAATTTTGTATACAGTTGGAGCTGAAGCTGAGGATGAAAGGATTCAACTTCTTTTATCTGAGGTCAAGGGAAAAGATATAACAGAGCTTATTGCATCTGGGAGGGAAAAGCTTGCCTCTGTTCCTTCTGGTGGTGGTGTTGCTGTTGCAGCTGCTGCACCAAGTGCTGGTGCTGCTGCCGCTCCAGCTGCTCCTGAGACTAAGAAGGAAGAGAAAGTTGAGGAGAAAGAGGAATCCGATGATGTAATAACTCCAAACCTTAATGTTTTCCTCGTTTGTTATCTTCTTAAGTGTTGTTGCAATCTTGGTATTGTGCATCTAGTACTGTCACAGATATAATTCATCAATTAATTTCTGTTTTATTCTATTTGTTGCAGGATATGGGCTTCAGCCTCTTTGATTAAAATGTTGATTGGTTTCTGCAGAGATTTTTTTTTTTAATTTAAGGCTGGCTTACATTTTAAAGTTTTGTTATCCAGTGTTATGTAGGTTTTTTTTTTTTTGGATTCATAGATTTGGTGGACTTTTTTTTTTTGCTGAAATCTAATGTTGCATGGGAATTTCAGAGTTGGTTATTATGATTTTCTTGAATCTCACGTCTAATGATGATGAAGATTGAAGAAAAGTATATGAATTCTCTGCAATATTATTGTGTAAGTTTTGAAAGAATCACAGTGACTATTCTGTTTTGTGAATTCATGTGCGCCTTATGGTTAAAAAACTGTGGTTGCCAAATAAATTCCAAAATTTGAGGAAACCGAGTAGTTGATGTCAATAATACTAAATGAATATTGAATCATTTGGATGGGGGTAATGTCTATGGTCGAGTGAGGTAAATTTGCCATCCACCAGCAGCAGAGATATTTGGGGTTTATTATCAGATGAGGCTAACGATTTGGAAAACGTTGGGAAAATTTGTAGGAAGCAAGCACTTATGACCAAATGGGTGAATAAAAGAATGCTAAATCACCAATGATATGATAAAGAAAACAAACTGAGTTTTAATAGTTAGCTGCTGCAGTTCGAAGTAAGATGATTTTTACGAAGCATTTGGTATTTATTTGGTACTGCACAGTCGGCAGTGATACCAACCAAAAACAATAGCCTATAGTAAACATGCTATCATATCATTCATCATTCAAAAGAAAATAAAGCAAACCCCAGAATTATGTACTCAATCCAAAGAGCACTAAAAGCACAATCCAATGAAAGACATATCCAAGTCTTTGTCTATATAGTCCTCTTGCAACAAGTAACAGTCATTTTGTTTTGTTTTTGGAAGGGCGCGGGAGCTACTAGTCTTCAAATCTTACAGGCAAAAGAAAGACCTTCATTTGTCAGGGCATCCAAATTCTCAACTGAAGGCTGAAGCTTGGCTACTTTAGCAATAGCCTGGTTTTCTTCTGCAGTGCCACCCTCTAGGAAAGCTCCAACCACCTTGCCATCTTTGATCCAGTAAGATCCGAACTTTGGCTTTGGCGATTGTGGGTTGTTATCTCCAAAAAGCACTGTATCCCCAACATTATCACCATAGAACTGCCATGCTAGATCAAAGGAACGAGAATAGAAGTATGGTAGGTAGTCATATTCATCAACTGATTTCCCCTCCTCACTTGCCTTGATGGCCTGCAAAAATTGTCAGAATGGTTTAACAATTATATACTTTTTTGGAAAGTAACATTTAGCCAATATCCGAGTATAAAGATCAGGCAATAAATATAAATATAGATGAACTAAGTGAGATAACACACCTTTACTGCCTGTTCAGCTGATTTCCGGGCATGATCAACATGTTCAACCCTTCTTAACTCATTGTATAACTTAAGAGGAAAAGTGGCTACATCACCCACAGCATATACATTGGGAACACTTGTTTTGAAAAAAGCATCAGTCTGCAATTAAACAAATTGTGTTATACAATCACATATTGAGCTTAATTACAGTTTATGCTTAATGTATAGTATTCAGAACTAGATGTACAAAAAAATACTTTAACTACTGCAGATTTATACAATATCAACAGAATACTTAAGGTGACCAATTATATGACAAAGTGCAATAAGGATTTCAAGTTGACATTATAGATGAAAAGGCATTTGATATTATGTCACTGATCAAGCCAACCTTTATTCCACCCTTCTCCTCTTCAACCTGCCCTTTAAATAATGTTGAAAGAGGCCTTCCACCGACACCAACAACAACAATGTCAGCTTCCAGAACTCTGCCATCCTTAAGTTTAACTTCCTTCACCTGAACAGTGGGCAAAAGTATCACCATTAAAATGATTTCAGTCGCATAAAAGATTAATAAATGTCAAGCCCTTTGAAAGATGATTGATTACCTCTCCATTTGAGTCAGAGGTGAATCCAACTGCAACTGTCCCCTTTATAATTTTGATCCCTTTATTAGCATAATAACCCTCATAGAAAGCAGCGATGCTAGAGGTGAAAAGCCGGGGCACTACAAGAACAATCTTCCACTTAGAAAAACAAGAAACCACCAGACATCAAGCTCAGTTCATTTATTACATGTCCTGATGGCATATTCAACAGTGCATTGAAAGGCCAACAGTAGGAATCTACTTACTGCACCATGGTTCAGGGTACACCATGCTGACATCAAAATTGTTAATTTTCATTGCTGCACCAAGCTCAAGACCAATATAGCCTCCTCCTACAATAACAGCCTTCCCATTCTTCTTTGCTTTGATTGCTTCTACCAACTTATCAGCATCATCAATTTCTCTTAAGTAGAAGATGTTTTTGGCATCAGCTCCTTGCACTCCGAAATCTGTCAATCTTATAACCTGCAAGAATAATGTGTCAAACTATGCAGGACACGCAAGACAAAGAATGTTTTATTTTTAGATCCCTAGAAACTGTAACTCACTGTGGAACCAGTTGCAATGATCAAAGTTTGATACTTAAATATTTCTCCAGCTGCGCTTACTAGAGTCTTGGCTGGAAGATCTGCTTTTACTATTTCCGTACTAAGGATCAATTCAATCCCTACAAGGATCAGAACACACAAAGTATATCAATGAGGCCATTTCCAGCTTCTAACACAGATATTGAATAAACAATGAATATTAGCTTCAATTCCTTTTAGCAGATCCATTTTCTATTATTTCTGCAATTCTCAAATTTCACATTGAACCTTATGACAAAAAAAAAAATCACATTAAACCAATCCAGGCAGACATATGTTGCAAACCTTTTTCCTTGTACCACTCAGGAAGCAATCTCTCTCCGCCACTTCCAACACAGACATGGAATCCAGGAAGTCTTGCAGCTCCTGCAAAGAACAGATCACCAAATTGGTCCAGGAAACAAACCAACCAGATGACCAACAGAATGATGTGGCAACTAAAAGCATAGTTAAGATTGCAGTTATAGGATTTTAGAATTTATTTGAATTTTGCAAATAGGTATATAAAAAGCATATTAGGCTTACCCTCAGGGAAGAGATATCCCTTACTGAGAGCGGGGCGTTCATATGGAGCAACCTACATGTATAAGAAAGCAAACATCAGGTAATATGCAATATAAATTTATATCTTCAGGGAACCAATAAATGACAACAGTAGCAGTTATAATGAGTGCTGTAACGTAAATACCACCGTTGCTGGCCTCTATTATAGAAGATTTCTACTTAGACAACGTCAGATTGCAAGAGGAGTATCCAGAGGGAGTATTCCCCATTAAGACAGCAGTTTCAAAAGCCAACCAGTGTGCCGAGCAATGAAATTATGTGATACAATATTTTGCCTTTTCTAAGCACATTTGACAAAAAAAAAAACCACCGTAGAGGATGAGAATAGAATAATACATATAGTGATCTAAAACATAAAATGCAATCAAAATAGATTCATGATGCCTAAGCCTAATAAAATGACAAATTTCTTTTGCATGCAATGATAAAAAAAGTTTCCTTAAATATAGTAAAAGGCATACCGCCTCCTTGGAAATAATTGCCAGCTCACCAGGCTGCACTCCTTGCTTGCCAAACTCCCTTGCTGCATATCCCTGTGAAGTCGGAAGATAAAATTTTTAGGAAAAGGGAGCAAAGAGTAAGTAAATCAATCAAAAGTAAATACAGCATAACCCTACTAACAGTGTGACTGTTATATAAAAATGAAAGAAGCTTCATTTTTTTCCATTAACGCATTCTACGTAATGCAAAATAAAACCAAACTATCATTTTGCAACTCACACAACACTCTACACGATTAAAAGCAGCAAAAGATGCATTCCATTGTGTAACAAATCGGCAACATGCTTGATTTCCTAAATATAAATCCATTTTCCAGTTAATAGATAAAATTAAAATTCATTTACCTATTATTTTTCACATAAAACTTTGACAAACATAAAATTTTCAGGGAACTCAATTCAGCAACTATAAATGACTTAAATCAGTCCGTAATTTCTCTTCATCCAGTGTACACATGAACACCAACAAACCTAAGGCTTCAATTTTGCATTTAATTGTTTTTCATTTTTTTGTTCGATTAATATTTGTTTGTCCTTTCCATTTTCGTAGCAACGCCAGATCCATTTTGCTTTAACAGATTAACCAATGAATGATAACACATTGAGAACAATAATTTCAAAAATACAAAAGCAAAGGCATCGATAAACATCATAAACTGAAACCAAAAAATTCAAGAAAAATAATAAATAAAAATTGAAATCGATAAGCCAGAAGTGATCGAGGGAACTTACAGCAGCAACACCACCGCCGAGGATCACGAACTTGAAACTCTTCTCCGCCATCGATTATCGAAGCTTAGCTTTGCTCTGCGACTTCTCTTTCTTCCCTTTCGGAAATGAATCGATTATTTTAAAGTATCATCGAGAATGTGGCCCACGCTCCTCATTGGCTGACCCCTATTGGTGAACATGATTTTGCCACGTGGCAGAAACATTGTCGTCCGTTTCTGCTGACTGTGATCCTTCCACGACCACGACCTACAGGGTTTTGATTTCTAATTTTAAACAGTCTGTTATTATTTTTTTAAAACAATTTTTAAGTTATTATTGTCTATGTCTTGCAAACCACCAGACTGATTGAAGTTAATCTCAAACCATTTTATTGGTTTAAATTATTTTTGTTAAGTTATTTTTGAGTTCGAAGGTGAGTTAATTTGATTGGATTACACGCTCAACCTGTCAAAATTTTTTTTTTTAAAAAAAAGATATGCATGTGTTTAAGTAAGTTCAAGTAAATATTTGGCTGAGAAAAAAATTAAAAATTAATTTGAAATGTTAAAAATAAAAATGATCTTATCAATGATCTTTTATGGGAAGTTTTTTTTTTACATATTTTGGGAATAACACGAATCAAATGTTTCATTAAGACAAATAATGTAATTATCAAAATAAATAATACACAAGTGACATCTTAAAAAAATTGACACACAAGTAATATTCTCAAAATCTATTTAAACTAATATCTTTGTGAAATTTCTGAGCCTAAATATTTTTTATCGAGTCGAAAAGTTTTTTTATTAGTTTTTTTATTGATATCAATAAAAACCTTTTTTTTTTATTTGATGACTATCAAAAAATTTAAAAATAGATAAATTATTTAATTTTTTAAATTAAAATAAAATATATCGTATCTAATAATTTAAAATAAATAATTATAAATCATATATTTAAAATAATTTTAATAAATAATTATCAATAAAATTCAAATTCAATATCTTTTCGTAAAAAATATAAACTTTAATCAATTAAACCATAATTTTTTTTTACTTTTTTTTCTTACTTAAGTATGAACCGTTAAGTATGTACAGAATCTCATTTTACTAAATATTGAAATTTCTTCGGTCTTCCTTTGAACGTTGACTGCTTTATCTTCATGTGAACGAATATTTAAATTTAAGCTTTTTTTTCGTCTATAAATAACTTACTCAGAGGATTAAGGATTTTTCCAGAAAAAAAAAAAAAGGGGTTATTTTTGGAAGGCAAAGATAGAAGTTAACGTCATTGATGATGTGGCAAGAATCTTTGTCTTTTTCTGATATTCATCCGCGTCAATGATCCCACGCGACCGGTACCATGATTTTATCATCCCATTGGTCAAAACGAATCAACGTTCAAAATAAATAAAGGGCGAGACAGGACAACGTGGTTTGACTACATCGCCCAACAAACATCATGGGAGCCAATCCGCCTTTTTGGAAGCGGCGGGCTGCGAGGGAATTGGACTTGGTCATGGGTTTAAGCCCAAATTTAAAAGCAATAAATATTTTCATATTTTGGGTCTATGCTTTAAACTTGTTGAGAACATCAAGCCCAAATGGTATATTTTTCATTTAAATTTAACAATTCTATGTTTTCATAATATTCATATAAATATATATAATGCTATATAAGTTCAGGAATGGATCAACTTACATTAGCATATGATTTTTTAATTTTACATTTTTTTAAGTATTGAATTTAATAGATCTAACGGATGTAATTAAATCATTTTTTTATTTATCTTTTTCATCTCTTAAATATATTAAAATTAATATTTGAAAAATATAAATTTTTTTGCGTAATTTGATCCCTCTCCTATGATTTCATTCAAATTATACATATATTTAAGGTATTTATCCATACAAATTTTCATTTAATGTGAATTTTGCACAAGAATAAAATCGTTTTTGTAATATAACTATTTAAGATGTGTAAAACTTTTTTAAATCAATTTGTTTTTTTTTTTCATGTTCATTATTGTTAAATTTATATTGTTTGATATTGAGTGTATGAAATTGTTTTATTTTTCAAACTCATGGCTTAATTAAATCGATTTATACAATTATTTTTAAAAATGATATTCTCATATTAAAAATTTTGTAAAAAAAATGTTATTTTAAAAAAACAAAACTTACCTTGCTTCCCATTTAGTGTGGCATTACAACTTTGCTTATATTCTCTATTATTGTTAGTAATTATTTTAATGTGAAATTTTTCATTTATAATTTTTTACCATGGTCAATTCTCTTAGACTACGAACCCTATTTCCTTAGGAAAAAAAAAAAAGGAAGCAATGCCAATAATTTCCTTGAAATTAATACATTGAAAGTAAACAAAAATGTAAGACTAAGGATAATTAAAATTACCAAAAAAGAAAAAGAAAGGCTAGACATTTGTGCCTCTTGTCAAGATTCAAAGGTTAATTTAATGTTTGACATTGATTTTAAAATATTATTTGCATGCCGGATTATGGAGAACAGGTTTAATTTTGTACTTGTTTAAGTTTGTGCATAACTTTATGAGCACGTCTTCTCACGTGCATGTTGGATTGACTAACACTGCTCTCCTTTAAAACTCTTTTTTTTTTTTTTTATATTGATTTGTCGATTAGTTGATTTGATGTCTGGTAATTTAAGATAGTTGATTCAAAAATATTTATGTGACTAATTTTTTTACTTAAATAAGTACAAAATATATTAATTTAAAAGTTGATTAGAAATTTTACAAAGCAAATTTTATTAAGACACTTAATAGGAGAATCAAGCGTAAAATTTTTTAAGATATATTTATAATTAAGTATTATATTTATATACTTAATTAAATAATTAATTATTATATTATTAATTAATAAATTATAATATAATTAAATAATTAAATACAAATACATTAAAACTTAATTTTAAAATTTTATAATTTTAAAACTTCTTCTTTATCACAAAACCTAAAATTTCATTTACAAATATTCAAGCGCAGAATTTAAATGTTAAAACTTTAATTTTGCTAGGGTTTACACTTTATTTTAAAACATTTTTTGCGGGACACATTTTTCTTTTATATATATTATTATATGTGGCAAAATGTAAATAACATCTCCATTTCGCCTAATTTTCTGGTAAAAAGCATTAAAGTCGCAGCTTATCAATGTATTATATTTCTATGTACTTTCAAGGTAGTTATCATCAAGAGAATTGATTTGAAACCGACCCTAATTAGTTTTGATTTCATATAAAAAAATGATGGGAACAGTCGATTGTTTTTCGCCCTTTATATCATAATTAATGATCTCGATAGTCTTTTCTTTGTGGACATCAAAGACAAAGTTGATTATCATTTTTGATATATAATTTTTTTTTTCTATAGTACATTGTAACATCAGTAGGCCTCATGTCGTGCACTGCTTTGCTTTATGTCTCATTTTTTTGGCATAGCATCATTTCTTGATTCCTAAATATTTTTTTAATTATTAATTTATATAATTATTTTTAAAATAGTATGAGATTTAACTTTAAAACTTAGGCATAAGATCGATAAGTTTTAATTCGATTTTATTTAATAAAATTAATTTATAAAAAATATTAAATTTTAAATCAAATCAAATATTATAAAAAAATTAAAATTAAATTTAATAGATATAAAATCAAATTAAATTAAAAAATAACAAAAATTTACTTCCATCCAACCCATTGCCAACCCTTTCCAATCAATCCCCCTACTCTCCCCAAATGACCCTAACAATCTATTCCACGTATAGGGTTGGCTCTTTGCCTCTTTCTTCTAAAGATCCGTACGTAAAAAAATGGGCCCCACACTTTCGAGATATTAAGGCATTAATATTTAGCTCAGTTTATTTTGGCACATTTCAAAATGAAAGTTCTTTAATGGCACATTGGAGGGTCAGAAAAGTGGGGTAAATTTGTCCTTGAGGGACAGAAGAAAACAAAGCTATAACTCCATGGTTTTTTCTTTTAGGACTTAGGGTGGCACCGTTTTAAAGGGGTTTCTTTTTTTTTATTTTTTTATTTTTAATGAAAGTATTGTATATGCCATGGCTTTAAGCCAAAGACAACCAACCATCCTTTTCTGGGGCGGTGGGCTTACCATGTGAGAATGATGGTTCTATTACTTTATGAAAATTTTAATGACATATTTATTTGTGATCCAATAGAATTTTATATTTTTATTTAATTGATTAAATAATATATTATATATAAAAATTCTTTCAAATTTATAAATTTTAAACATTAATTTTGATATCATATTAATTGATTTGAAGATCAATTGATCTAATTTTACTGTACTAAAATCTTAAAAGAATAAAAAAAAACTTAACTTTTTTCTTTTATATTTGCAAATTTTGCATAGCCAAATAAGAAAAACCTCTAAACTTTTTCCTCTCCTTTTATTGGCTTTTAAGGTTTGTACTTTTGTAAGGAGCGAAATAAGTTTGATTTGGTGATTGGTCCCGAGGCTTATTATTTTTTCTTTTTTTTTTTTTTAAGTTAAAATTATGAAAGAAGGCTTAATGGAAATTGATTTTTTGAGCATGAATATGTGTGCATTTGGAAAATTATTTAATATTTTATCGGTCAAATTTTTACATTTCATCAATGAAATTAGAAGATTGAGGTATAATCTATTAAATAAATTAATATAATAAAAATATATAAAATATTTTAATTTTACCTAAAAAATTTAAAATTTTCATTAATGATATATGAAAAAAATCCATGAATTCATCCACATTTGTTAAATTGTTAAAATCATAATTAATTATTACATCATAACTAAATTATAATTATTAAATAATTAATTAATAAATTACAATATAATAAATACCTAAACTCATATATTGTAAAATTTAAAATTAAAATCTTATGATTTTAAGATTTTTTTATCATTAAATCAATATCTTACGCTTTCTTTAAATAAAATGCCCAAGTGCTAACCAAATTTCTTGAATTCTAAAAATATTGTTTGAAATGACATACTTATAATTAAAAACTATAAAAAAAAAAGAATATATTTGCGTAAATAATGAAAGGTATCGTTGAAAAGGATATAAAGCGAGGTGATGTGACAAAAAAAAATAGACCAAAATATGATAAGGAAAAGTCAGGGCATCAAATTCTTTTTTTTTTTTAATATTTCTTCCCCGTTTGCTTTAAATTTTTTAATTTTTAATTTTCCTTATTATATATTTATATTCTTCAAGGGCGCCGGCATGGGCCATGGAGGATAACGTGGGCATCATATCTTTTTAGCAATCAAACTTTTTTTTTTTTAATTTTAAAAAATATTAATAATTGATTTCTACAAGAGCAAATTTATATTTTTAATTTTTTATTTTTTGTTGAAAGATGAAATTATGGAAACTAGCACCTATATATAAAAAAATCAGGAAGATGGAATCAAGGAAAGTAATTAATTGTTTATTTTCCTTCTTTTGAATGACTGATTTTTAGTTAAATTATTTACCATTCATTTTATTTAACTAAATTTAATACAAATTCCTTTTATTGTTTTTTTTTTCTAATTTGATATTGAAATTGAATAAATCGAATCAAATTATTTTTTATATTAATTGATTATAGGTTCCAATCGATTAATCTTCACATTTAATCAATATTAGATTTTTGTTTAGAAAAATAATAATTAATAAAGGTGTATTTATAATACCTGGTTGATTTGAATTTCGAAATAAAAATATTTTATTCATTAATTCTAATTCAATTATTAAAGACTTTGATTTTATGTGGTGCAGATAGAAAAAGCCAAAAATGAGTTTTTCACCAGAGTGGAGTGCATCCTAAAGCCGTGCCAGCTCTGACATTTTTTTTTTCCAGCAATTATTGAATGGGTAATTCCCTAGATTTATAACATATCTAATTTACTCATGGTTCATTGGCAAAGAAAAAAAAAATACCCCTGGTAATAACTTACCAACCCAATTTTTTTACTGTCAAATAGGACTGTAAATAAATTAAATATAAATGAATATATATATATTTATTTTTAAAAATATTTATATTCAATTTATATTCATTAAAAAATTTACTCTATTTATTTATATTCGTTTATTTAAATAATAAAATATTTATATTTAATTTGTGTTCATTCAATTAAATTAAAAGAGTTCATTCATGAATATTAAATAAATATATTTATAAATATATATAAATGAATAATTTATGAAAAATAAATAAATTTAAATAAACAAATCTTAAACGAACATAAATGAACTCAAACAAATATAAACCAATCTTAAAATAAAATTTAAGTAAAAAATAAAAATATAATTTTATTAGTATTATTATATACGAATAACAAACTAACAACAAATGAACAATAAACAAATAAGTTTTCAACAAATAGTAAACGAATTTGTTTGTAAATATAAATTATTCAACAAACAGTTATTCGTATTCGGTTCGTTTAATAAACGAACACACAAATAATACTCAAAATTATTTGTTAAATTTAATAAACAAACAAAAATTAAATATGTTCACGAATGATTTATCGAAAACTCAATTCACTTACACTCTTACTATCAAAATTGAAATTAACTACTTGCATACAGTTAATAATAATAACATTAATTTCATAAAAAATCACTTTACCTTATATCATATAAGAAATTTTTGATAATTTACGTATTAATAAATAAAATGTCTTTGCTTTAATCAAGCATATTTGAATGCTTTAAGGTTTTGAATTAAATAAAAAAAATAATTGTGGGTATTAATAGTTACATATGCATGTATATATTATGTTACACCAATAGAATATATATTTATCTATTCATATATGTTAATACAATATATATATGTGTATAAATAAAAAAAATGATTTACTAGAGATGTTTGTTGCAATTAATGAAGCAAAATTTTTTTTGGGTGACTTTTTCAAAATCTTTGACGGTCTAAGAAAGAAATTTATTGCAATCGAAGAAATGGTGTTAATGTCCCTAACAGTGACTCATTGTCCTTCCTTCCTCGTTAATTTGCCTTGTTGCCTTCCGTTAAGATTGACCTTGACAACTTGTTTAGTTGGTGGAAAATTAAAATAAATAAATAAATAAAATAGATAATTAATATGAATATATAGCCGTTTAAGATTATCAAAATTAACGGCACATGCTTCTTTACTAAGTCTTCATTAATCCTTAAAACCTAATCATTTTTAATATTTTTTTAGCTGCAAGTTGAGGATAAAATAATTACAAATATTAAAATTTAAAATTTAAACTCACTAAATTTAATATTTTAAAAATAATTATTTGAATTAAATAAACTAAATATCGGAGTCTAATCATTTTAGTACTTTAACCTTATATTACGGTAAGTTATCAAATTGGTATATTTATTCGAAGTTTCTTTTTTCTTTTGCTAAATAAATTATGAATATTTAAAATAATAATTATATAAAAACAAAAACAGGGGCATCCAAAGAAATCGAAGTAAAGTAAAAAAAAGATATTCTGTCACTATCTAATTATTTAAATAATAATAATAAAAAATAAAATATTCAATTGTTAAATCTAAGTAGCCAGTGTCCACATCTAGCCTGCCAAAAACTTTCCCCCTTCGCTGCTTCTACAGACTATGTGAAACACACTTCAAAATATGGTGGGTCCATTTTCATCCTTCAAAATAATCAGAGCCCAAAGAGTAAAAAGAAGAAAGAAACCAACGCAGTTTTTTTATTCTCTCTCCTTTTTTTGTTCTTCAATGGTTTTAGGGTTTCAATCCCTAAACATAGGTTTGTTAGCTTTCTCGTTCCTCACATTTTAGTCCCAGAATCTATTCCTCAATGCTTTCAGTTCTCTCGTCTTTCTTAAGGTACTGTTTCTTTCTCTTGATTCAAGTTTTGGCTTGTTCTTTTGGTTTCTTTGTTGTTGGGATTTTGGATCTTTGTTTTTTTGGGTTGGATTTGATACATGCAAGAAACATTAAGGATGTTTGAGCTTTCTCTTTTTGGGTTTGTTGTGATTTTTAGTTGTTCTTTTTTTTTTTTTTGGTGTTGGGGCTTTGTTTTTGGTATGTTTGCTGGATCTGTAGTTTAATTTTATTTTCCTTAAGCTGGAAATGGAACAAAATTTAGTTTGCAATTTGGATTTGGCTTTAGTTTTAATTTCTGATCCATTGCATCTGGAAGGGAAACAAAACTAATGTAAAAAAATGAAAAATGATTCAGAAAATTTTATTGGCAATTTTATTTTAATGTGATTTGCTTATATTTTGATATCAATTGATATACATATATCCTTACAATTTGTTTTGTGGCCTTTCTATATACTTCTGGTTTTAATGGTTTTGTAATTTGGTGACTTTGTTTAGGTACTTGGAATATATGAGCTTTAAAATTGTTTTGATGAAAGAAAGGTCACAAGTTGCTATGAATTCGGATCTTTGAAGTTGGTCCAAACGGAAACATGAATTAGTATAAATTTGGAGGGTGATATCATTACTTTTGTTTTAGGACACAGCTGAGAAAATTTAGTACTTTGTAACAGTTAGAATGGGTTCATATTCTGGTACTCGTGAAATAGTTGAAGTGGGCGAAGAACTTAAACCCGCACAACAATCTAGAGGGGCATACCGACCACATTATGGATTGGGTGTGGGTGAAAAAGATCGAAAGCCTCCTGTGCTGAAACTGGGATACAAGGATTCTCTAGAAGATGATATTAATCAGCTTTTTCAGGCTATCAATCTTAAAGGTCCCAAAGGTTTAAGTGTTTCTTACCAAGGAGGCGCAAGCTCAAGCTCTCCAAAGAAAAATGCTTTGAAGAAACCAATTACAGTGGGGATGCCCCAGTCCCCGAGAATTGGTGGTTCAGAGCCGTTGTCACTGAAGCAGGCTTTAAGGGATCTTTGCATTTCTAAGGCATCAGAAATGGCTGCTATGAAGCGGTTATCAATGTCAACTAGTTCTCCTGGGGTCTCTGAAGCCGGAAGGATAAAAAGTTTGTTCAATTCAGTTGTCGTTGAAACTGCCAGTGGATCTGGTCTTCCCAGAGATGAAGAAGATAAGAGGAGCATGGTTGAAATATCTTTGGTGCCTGAAGAAAGCAAATCAGCTTCTTCTCGGATGATGGCTGTGTCACATGAAGCTCTCAAGAATAAGTCATTGAGCCAAAGTGCTAATTCTTCACCTCAATTTGCCCTTGCAACCAGACAAATTAGCACTGGAAGTCCTTCATCAACTCAAACTGATGTTTCTGCCTCAAGAAAAGTTGGGAATCAAGCACCAAAAGCAGAGCTGCATCAGAAAGAGAAGCACACTTCTGCATCTTCTCCATCTTGTTCTTACGCTGATGATAATATGTTAGAAACGGACAATACAGTGCCTACTTCAAACAAGTTATTGAAAAAAATATCAACACCAAAGTTGGGAGGAAAGGGCAGGCTGCATGCTGTTGCTTCTTCTAGCTCAATAAATGGCAACAGAGTAAGTAGGGTAACAAGAAATGCACCGCGGGTGGCCAAAACAGTTGTCAGGAACAAAAGTTCTGTCAAGAAGAAAACAAAGCAGGATTCCTCTTCTGTGGCATGTGCTGCTAATGCTTTCAATGAAGTTAATAGCAGCTTGGATTCCACTGCGAGTCAGTTAGTTTGTCAGAGATGCCAGTGCTCTCTGAAGAGTTCAAGTAATGAATCTAATCAAGATTCTGTGAAGTCACAGTCAGCTGGGATTATTGCTGAAGTCAGCTCAAGGCATGTGAATTCTGATGTTCACAAACCAACCTTGGCTGAAAGTAACTCTAACAGAAGCCAAGCTGCTGGTCCAAGGGCTAAAAGGAGCGCTAAATCAAGAGAAAAGGGAGACTTCTCCCAAAGTTCAAGTAGCCTTGGTGATAGTAGTAGCACAAGCATCAGTGATGACAGCAATTTAAGTGGGTCTAGCTGCAGTAACAGACCTCACATGTCAAAGGATGTGAGGTGGGAAGCCATCCGCCACGCTGGGATGCAGGATGGAGTCTTGGGTTTGAGACATTTCAATCTTTTAAAGAAGCTTGGTTGTGGAGATATTGGCACGGTATATCTTGCTGAGCTTATTGGTACGAACTGCTTGTTTGCTATAAAGGTCATGGACAATAAATTTTTGGCAAGAAGGAAGAAAATGCCAAGGGCCCAAACAGAAAGAGAAATATTAAGGATGCTTGATCACCCTTTTCTCCCTACTTTATATATGCAATTCACATCAGATAACTTATCATGTTTAGTTATGGAGTACTGTCCAGGTGGAGACCTGCATGTCCTCCGGCAAAAGCAGCCTGGAAGATGTTTTCCTGAGCCAGCAGCTAGGTAAGATGCTTAGACTTTGACAAGTCAATTTAAATTAGGATTACCTTCTAATAGTTTGAAATATCTTCACAATTGAGAACCAAAAGGAACAAAGTAAGATACTTCAAATTTAAGTTCTGAAAACGTGATTGGATTTGTCATGTTAACAGTCAGAACTTTGGTCTTGCATGTCGCTGGTCATTCGATCACTTTCAACATCTAAAGCACAATAAGTTGTGCATTGCATTGCTAGCATACATGGTTCAAGTTATGAAATGGTTCAGATGTGGCTATGATAGGTGCTTCCACCTAATTCACCTTGGAATTCCCCTTAAATCCAAATGAACGATTCCTTATCTTTACTTTAGGGTCATTCTATCTTTGAAAGTTTTACTTGTCTTAATTGACTTGCTTAACATCAGTTTTGAGTTGATTATGCTAATCTCAAGCTTGGGTGCTTTTACTACTTCTCTTTGTTGTGGTGACTGGTGTAGTATGACATAAGAGAACTAGTGTGTTGAATGAGAGTGTTCCATGCTTTAGTTCATTTTTTCATTCAATCTGACTTATTTATATCTCTGAACTGGTTATATATGTATTGTGCAGGTTTTATGTGGCTGAGGTACTTCTTGCTTTGGAGTACTTGCACATGCTTGGAATTGTTTACCGCGATTTGAAACCTGAAAACATTCTGGTTCGAGAAGATGGCCACATAATGCTCACAGATTTTGACCTTTCACTTAGATGCACAGTTAGTCCAACTCTCCTGAAATCTTCATCAAATTTGGATCCAGCAAGGATATCTGGTCCATGCACAGCTTCCAGCTGCGCAGAACCCTTTTGCATCGTACCATCTTGTCAAGTCCCATGCTTCAGTCCTAGGTTCTTGCCTGCTGCTGCAAAAGCAAAGAGAAAGGCTAAGGCAGACGTCGCTGCACAAGTTAGATCACTGCCACAGCTTGTGGCTGAGCCTACTGATGCAAGATCTAATTCCTTTGTTGGGACCCATGAGTACTTGGCTCCTGAGATCATTAAAGGAGAGGGTCATGGAGCCGCCGTTGATTGGTGGACCCTCGGTGTCTTTCTTTACGAGCTTCTCTATGGTAGGACACCCTTCAAAGGTGCAGGGAATGAAGAAACTTTGGCTAATGTTTTGCTACAGAGCCTTAAGTTCCCGGACAGTCCTTTTGTTAGTTTCCAGGCAAGGGATCTCATCAGAGGGCTGTTGGTAAAGGAGCCAGAGAATCGGCTGGGAACAGAAAAAGGGGCAGCTGAGATCAAGCAACATCCATTCTTTGAAGGCTTGAATTGGGCTTTGATTCGATGTGCTGTTCCACCAGAACTACCTCGGTTCTATGAATCTGAGGTTCCGAGCATGATATGCCCGGAAACAAAGAGCAACGATTTGGAATGTAAAGCTACAGGAGAGCACCTTGAATTTGAGCTGTTTTGATGAAAACATCTACTTTAAGAGAAAGTTTCCATAAGATACCACCCCATAATGAGACCTTGAGCCCTTTAATCAAAAGATCTCCCTCCCCTTGTTGTAATTATATATGAAGCTCATAATGTAAATTTAATTGAAAATATTTGAAGCCGTCACCACATTTTGTCATATCAGACGCCGAAATCTTTTCATTCAGCAATTAGTTACTATGAAGTTGTCCCACAAATTGAAGATGACGACCCATCTTTCTCCCCTCAATCCATACTTTCATCACTTTTTAGAAGTAATTAAAAGGACAATGTTTGTCAAGTAGGACTGATCTTTGAAGAGTTAATATATAATTTGGTTCTTGAATTATATTATTTTAAATAGTTTGATATTTATAAAAAATTTCACAATTAAGTACTCTAATTTATTTTTTGACAAACATTTTGCAATAGTTAAAATGTTGATGTGTCAAATATTGATTATTAAAAATATGACATGTCACAATATTATTTATGTTTTTTGGCCACATCTTTTTATCATTACTAGAATTAATATATGAAGTAAAATGTTTGACAAAAGTAAGGTTCGACATTTAATCATGAACTTTTCTGTAGATATCTAATTGTAAAAATGATTTAGGGCTTAAATCACACAAAAACCCATATTTAAAAGAACGAAAGAAACCAGAAATAAGAAAAAGGGTTGCCCTTCGGCCTTGGGCCTTAGGGCTTTGGAAAAGGGCAAGGGAAAATTTTGAAGCGCTGCTTTATGGGTAAGAAACTTCATTTTCTTTCATCTCCGTAAAATCAAGGAGCAGCTTATTTATTTATTAATTACCGTTGGAGCTCCTTGCCAAGTTCGTTCGCTTTTATGGCGTCAAGCTCCGACGACGATGAGTTCGTTATTCTCGTATGCACCGATCCCAATAACCAAATCGGAGCTGATATCTCCAATGAAGAAATCGTTATTTCCACTACGGATATCTCCCACTGGGATTTCCCTTCCATTCTCTCATTCCAAACATTCAAAATCCAGGCTCATCGCAATAGGCAAATCCAATTTTCTTCTCAATCATTTCATTCATTCTCACTGTTTTGGATGAATTGACCTTTAATTTAATGTTGAGTTTCATATTTTTGTAGGCTTATTGAAGAATCTTCATACTTCCGTGGCCTCCTCAGTGGAAGTTTCAGGTTTGTTAATTTTTTAAAGAAATTTTAATTTTGTTTATTCTTGGTAAATCCTTTGATACATAATTACTTAAGTATTTTTTTAACTGCAAATTTTTTGACTGAATAATGGAATTAAGGGTTAATGACCTTATTTGAATTTGAATTATTTGTTCACAACTCGTGCAGTGAGTCATGCTCGGACTGCATATCAATCGAGTGGCAATTGGAAACGTTTTTGAATGTTCTTAGATGTATGTTTCGCTGCCCCTTAGACATTACTTCTAGGAATTTCATCCCTCTTTTCGAGGTAAACATTTGGTTACTCCAAACATTTCTGCTAGTATTTTTCTTGGTGTTCACTCGGTGTACTGTTAGTATTATTATATGGAAGTGAAAGAACCAATAACTTTCTTCTTATCGATCTCCTATTTTGGAAATCAGAATTGTAACTTGTTAGTTGCTGAATTTATAGTATGTAAAGTGTTAAAGCTATTACATCTCAATGCATCATAGACAAAATAAGAATTTCTATTCATGGGGTACTCCAACGTTGAAATATCTAACGGGATCACCTGAAAATGTAGATGTAGTCCCATTGCAACATGAAAATATCCAAAAGAAAGAATACTTACATTGCTGTAAGTTTGAAGTATGAACTCACCATATCATATCTATTTGTAAAAATTAAGTTGGATGTCTCATGTCTTTAAATTTCTTGACTACCTTCCAGGCTGCACTTTATTTCGGAGTGGAGATGCTTCTGTTGCAGTTGAAATCTTGGTTTTCTGAGGTCTCCTTGTCCAAAGATCCTGGGCTACTTAAAATACAATTGGATGATCTGATTCGTATATGGAATTTTGGTTTAGAACATGGTAAGGACTTACTGTGTATTTAGAGATTACTAGCAATGAACGAAAATACATGGTGTTGGTATTACATTTGAAGTTAATATGATGTATCCACTTTAATAGATATGTTTTGAATATGTTGCAGCTAATGGTTTTGTTCAAGAATTATGTGCAAGCTACCTTGCAAGAAATTTTGTACGTGCTAAACTTCCATTCAGCTTTTGAGCAGTCACCATGTAGGGTCAGCTTGTGATCTTGCTACAAGTTTCTGATTGATCAAATCTTCTATCGAGGAGTCAAAATGTCGTTTGAAATTTTGATACTAACACACACACACATACACACACGCTGCATATCATTTGGCTAGTCCTTTCTCTGTAATAGAATGTTGCTTAATGAGTGGAACAACTTTGATTATTATGACAGTTGGGGGGAATTAGCTGGTCTTCGTAGTTGTTAGACTAAGCTTAGTCATTTCAACAGTCTCCTTGAGGATTCCAATTAGTTAGAAAAGGAATAAATATTAAAAAATTACACTCATTCAGTTTTGTTCTTAACTTATTATCTGTGCACTTTTCGAGAAAAAAAGGAAGGTTGCTTTAGCCTCTTAAGCTAGCATGATGGTGGCAAAGGACATTGCACTGGCAAGGGAGACATGTTTGCAAAGGATTAAATTAAAGATTTCATGTCAATTTAGATGAAGTTATAGGACATTCCTATGATTGATTCTTCATTTGAATTATTGTCTCTTTTGTAGGCTTTTTTTAAACTCAACTTGCTTCTGTTCTTTGGGGTTAAACCTAGGTTGGTGCATATGGCAAGGTCTAACGTGACTGTCTTATCATGATAAAATCCTCATCATCATATCATTTTTAATGGAAGTCTTTTATTGCATTGGCTTGGCTGTGCATTTGAGTTTTGTGATTCATTTGTTTCAACCTTAATAGAAGTTGATTAATTATGGTTCATTTCCTGCAGATGTGGACCATGTCTAGTAATTTTTTTGAAGATGTGCCATATGACTTATTGTTACTTTGCATTAAGCATCCCCATTTAACAGTAGACAGGTTAGTTATTACCTTTAAATTGTTGTAGTATTCACCTGTACAAAGTATTTTCTGAAGTTTGATGTTTTTGTGAACTTCCACAGTGAGAAGCACCTTTCCGATGCACTATTCATTTGGCTTGATTCTAATACAAAACAATTGGAAGGATCAAGTAAAACAGAAAATGAATTTTCTGACATTTTAAAACAGGTAGAGACTTATGTTTTCCATTTCCATGATTTAAAGTTTATCAAATTTCTGTGTTAGTAGATCCTAGTGTTGCAGAATGGATGGATATAAGATTTTTCCACTGGAGATGCAAAAGTTTTAATTATGAAGAGTTATTTTAAAATGAAAGATAAAATCTTGTTGTTTGAGTAAAATTTTCAATTGATTTTATTTGATTATGATATGTTGTGAAATTATTCATTATTGATGTTGGGCAGATCCGCATTAGCCTTTTGCCATTGTGGTTTGCTTCAGGTAATGCTCAGTTTTGTTGTTGCTTTATTTATTGCATGATAGGATTTGAATTTTCTTTTCATCAAATCTAATAAATATGTTACTCAAATTAATTCATATTTCAGGGAAAAGAAGTTCTGGCTGTTTTTCTGAGCTTGCAAATGAGAGTGTCAACTCAATTTTTAGACTTATGAAAGTTACAACCACAGGATCAATAAATGCATTAGGTGACAGTGACTTGAGTCATCTCAGGATTCGACTGACAGAATATTCCAAGGTCTTTACTACTCTATCTTTATGGATGTCTTGGCCCTTGATGCCATCTGTTGACTTGAGATTTACAAGAGGATTAATCCAAAAATATTGTCAGATTTCAAATTTAAGAGATATTGTCAGAACTTAGCTCTTCCAGGGCTTTCATTTGTATATGGTACTTATTACACATAATTTGCATAATTTTCTGCAATTACTACTTCTTGAAGCATTGATTTTTAATTCTGCATGCCTTGCTTTGGCTGCATAAATAATTGTTGTTGAGAGCATATGCATTTTTCTGGGTATTTAAACTGCCATTCTTTTGGAGCTGCGGAGGCACATAGCTTCGTGTACACCTTTGTTACTTAAAAAAGGAAAAAAGAGAGAAAAGGCAACAAAATGCTTGTGTTGGATTTTTTATAAGCGTCATTGAAATATTTTATCAGAGTGCACGTAAAATTTATTAGCTTTTGGAGTTTCCAGCACTTATGGAAAATGGAATTATGGATGCCTTGAATGAATTCTGCATGGTAGGGATCTCAAGTACTCTTAGATCATGCCATTAACTGGGATTGCCATCATCGCTTACCTTTATCTATGTCCAACCTGCTTGTTGTTACACGTCTTCTTTATTTTCAAAGAGTGTTCATTTATATTTTTTTCTCCATGCAGAGAATGGACCTTTCTGGTTGTCCACAGATAACACCAATGATTCTGCTCTTGTCTCTTCTTCCTAATACCCATAGTTTTGCTTTGGCATTGAGAAAAAGTATTAAAGAAGCTGTAAGTAACCTTGAACAGGCTGATGGAAGTAAATATCAAATCTCACAGGGATTGCTGCCAACTTTATCTTTTGAGGCAGTACAAGAGGTGGATATATCGGGTTGTCTGAAGCTACATCTTGAAGTTGCAATTGAGTGCTTTTCCAAGTCATTTCCATGTTTAAGAAAGGTGAAAGCTGCTTATCTTTTGAACTTCAGGACAACCACTTTGTATAAGTTGGTTCAGAAGTGTCCTTTGGTATCTGAAGTTGATATAACCATTGACATGAATCCACTTATTTCATCACAAGTCTCAGTTATATCCTCAACCTCAAGTTCACCTGTAATACCATTGGCACCAAATAGGCCATATATTGTTGATCATAGCTTTTCGATGACATATCCTTATCATTTGGGACCTTCACTAGCAAATATCACAAAGTTGACAATGGAGGGCAGAAGCGATGTCTGTGGTGAGATATTTTTCTGCTTCTTTGATGATAACAGTTTTGCCAAATTAAATATAAAAATGTTATAATTGCTCTGCTGAAGAAGACTTTGGCAATTTGGAGATTATTCTTGGCCTCAGCAAGTTCCATTAGCATACAGTTTTCTATTTTATAATTTTCCTTGGTAGAAAGACACTCCATACATACACCACTTCACTTATGGAGACCAGTGGATAAAATTCATTGTTGTCCAAATATGTTGGAAGTGTCTTTGTTATTGATATTTTCTTTAACAGTGAAACATTGACCGGGGAATCTTTTACACAGCCATAAAATGGTTTTGGGAATTTAAATCAACTTGTGATTCTGTTTGTTCCTCTTTTCCCTATTCATTTAGCATGTTCTGTTTTTCTTCATTGACAAGTGTTCTAATGTTTTCCCAAATGTTTGTTCCAGATTCAGATGTGCAGTATTTCTCAAAATTCTGTGTCTCCTTATGTTATTTGAATCTTAAAGGGTGTATCTCATTGACAGATGTCTGTATAGCAAATCTTATTCGAAGATGTACAAAGCTACACTCGATTCTAGTTTGTCATACTTCTTTTGGAATGAATTCAATTCTAGCTCTTTGCACTGCTAGTCGTAGTTTTAGTAATTCTCTGACTGCAAAGTTTGGAAAGATGCATTTGGATTCATTGGCCTCTAATCTTCAATTACTGCACATGGGTGGCTGCAAGTGTAAGCCATCATTTCCCCTTTAAATGAATTATGTATTGAACTGCTGTTAGTCTGTATTTTACCCCCTAGTTATTGGCCCTGAGTTATTTGTTTATGGTTTCTTACATTGCCCCTTCTCTGCCTTTTGCTGTCAATTGAAATTTTGATCCCCTTACATTTAATGTTAATATGAAGAACATCACTTGAGGTAGGATGTCATTGATTATGATTAAATGGATGATGCAGCCATATAGGGGTGCAATGCAATTAAATTGCTTGTGTAACTAATATCTAATAAAGCCATATTTTGGTGACTTAAGCTAGCCTATCATGTTCTTCTTTGTCTTTGATTAAATTTGAGGCTGTAACATGGGCTTCGTTCGCTGTTCAACCTCGCACACCTTACGGGGACATTGGCATCAAAGAAAACTCACTTGAGGAAAAATCTGATCGGCTAGGATCTAGCTTTAGATGTTGCACTGAAGTTAATGCATATTGTTAGAGGGGTTATGATTATCTAGCTGAGTTGATTTCTTTCTTTCATCTTTTCAATTAAAATTAGTTTAGCTATTTTGATGCCAATAAAGATATGAGTAGTCTGTTCTTCCACAGCTGCTGATGAAGCATCTCTACTAGAGCTTTTGTCTCAAACACAAATGCTGAAGAGCCTTTGCTTGAGGGACACCAACCTTGTTGACAATGCTCTTTGTAACTTCTCAGGTTCTCTCTTGGAGATGCTTGATGTTTCGAATACAATGGTTAGTTAGCAACTTACTGAGCCTGTTTTTCTCTCTTTTCTTTTTCTTATCAGTGTGTGACTGATTTTGCATTTAAAAATGGAAGAAGCATAGAATAAGTTACAAACTAACAAATTTTGTTTTTTGATACGCTTTTCCTTACCCTGATATGTGATTTATTATCAATAGATGTGCTCTCCATATAGAGTTTGAATTTCTATTTAGGTATCTAAGGCATTTGATGTCAATGCACTTAAACTTCATATGGAGTTTGTTGTGGGCTAATAGATATTTTTGGCATCTTATGCAACTAAGTCTAAAAGGCATAAAATGCAGTGTTGTTGGATTTTCCGCCAAAATAGATGCTGTAAAATGAAAACGCAGTTGTCTTACCAAAGGAAATTGTCCTCTCAAAATTTCAGATTTCTGGTGCTGCTTTAAATCTTGTTGTCCGCGCAAATCCTGGCCTGAAGTGCTTGAACGCAAGAGGCTGTAAAAATTTGTTTTGGACAGAAAATAAGACAAAAGGGGCAAAATTTTCTTCCTCATATTCATGTGGAGAACTCTTAACAGACCTTGGAAAGACGTGCAGATTGGAAGAAATTGCTCTAGGATGGGGATTTTCTTACTTTTCTCTACAAGATCTAAAACCTGCAATTTTGTCGTTGAGGGCAATGACTGTGGGTTTGGGTGGAACATTACCTGAAGATGCACTGATATTACTACCTACCATATGTCCTTTGCTGGAGTCTTTAGTTCTTTATTTTCAGGTACCTATTAACTAATTTTGGCATATTACAGGGTGACATATTATATCCCTATTGGGTTTTGTGTGCAATAGTTCCAGGCTTTCAGTGTCTCAGTGATTAAAATCCACTCATGTTTCCTTTTTCTTGTTAGCCGCTTTGAGAATTTAACCATGCAATAATTTTTCGCGGCCTGTAGATTTAACTAAAAGACTATGTCATGTAGAGATTCTCTTTGAGGATGGTTAAACTGCCCTCTCTTGCATTTACTTTTTCCTATGTGTGGGAAAGAAAAGCCTCATTTTCTTTATATCCTGGGAAATTTGTTGACTGGGATAGTATTCTTATGCTTAAGATGTCTTCTAAAGGGTGGATTTTCTTTTCCATGTTAGGTCAAATCTTTTCCTTGCCTTTGCATGAAGAAATTAACATGTGATTTCTTAAATTTGTGATATAACAAGTACATTAATTTTGTTAAATTTGTTGAGGATGGGGCCAACAGTGTGTTGCACGTCAAACTTTAGCCTTTCTTGACTCTTGAGTGTACTCCATTGGCATCTGTTTTTTTCATTTTATATAATTGTTGAACCCACTTATATACAGATTTTTGTTTAATTTTAATCATTAAGGTCTTTGTAGGTAATATCTGATTGCACCATAATCAACATGATCACATCCTTGAGGCAATTGCGAACACTGTCTTTGTGCTACTGTCTTGGTGATATATCCATATCAAGCTTCAACTTGTCTATGCCAAGTCTGCGGAAATTGAGGCTTGAAAGAGTAACTCCTTGGATGACTAATAATGACTTGGTTCTTCTAACTCAGAACTGTACAAAATTGGTTGAGCTTGCATTGTTAGGATGCAAACTTCTTAATTCAGGTAAGTGTTGTTATTTCTAAAACATACATTTGACATGCTACTATTCTTTACGTGTAATGTTTAGACATTTTTTTCTCTTTTCTTGTTTCATGTGTTAGATTTTCAATATGATTCCAGAAAATAACGAGTTTTTGATGTGACTCTAAATATTGTGTTTGTATTTAACTCAGTATAACAAAGGTAAGTGATTGATGCAGTCACCAATATTATCTGTGTTATTATTTTGTTTCCTCAGATGCTCAATGTATCATCTCACGTGGATGGCCAGGCTTGATTTCTATCCATCTAGAGGTTTGTTATGATCTGTACTCTAGAATTTGGACAATATTTTCTTGGTTCTTCCGTTTTCTTCAAGAGGACACCGTGAAGGTTTGATGTACTTAATACATCAGTGTAAAATATGCTGTGCTATACTTACATGTTGGTTTTAAACAATCTCTGTTGTAAGTATAGAGATATAGAAACAGATGTAATACGTTAAGGACACTTTACCTTGGGCTTCTCTTGCTGGCTGAATGCGTGTTGAGGATGTCTTGTAATTTTTCATTTTTATGATATTTACTGGTACTTTATCACAAAAGATCAATGACCACTTTCCAAATGTTCAACCCAACTTACTTTAGCGTGAAGATCTTTTATTTGACAAAACTTTTGATGGTATAGGATGTTATAAAATTGAAATAATTGAGGCTAGACTGATGAGTTGAAATAGTATATGCTGAGCATGCATGGATGTCAGCAATGCTGCGGGACTTACTGGGAAGTATGGTCAAAATTGTTTCTATAATTCGGAGAGGTCTTTTTGCTGTAGTTGTCATTAAGCAATGATAAAAAATTTTATTTAAATGTGGCCTTGTACTTAAATGAATGAAGTTATGGCATCCGGAGTTAAATTCTCCAAGCCAGTATTAGCTTTTTTGTCAAGTGACAATTCATGGCTTCCTCTTTCTTTTTAAAGATATAAAATGATATTCTTCTGGCAATATGAGTACTTTCCTGATGCCAATTGATGGCTTCCTTATGTTCTCTTACTCTCATACCTAGAATTGAATGATCTAATTAAGTGCATAATCATTGTGCAAGGTATGGTATATGTTATGACTTGATCCTTTTGTCACATAGGACTGTGGTGAATTGACCAAAAAGGGCATTTCTTCTCTCTTCAACTGCACTGCACTTGAAGATCTCTTGCTGCGCCATAATGTGAGTATTTATCACTGCTCATTCTGTTGTAGTTTGCATGCACATTTACTGTTGTCAGATATGGGCCTATTTTGTACAGTAACTATGCTGCATATTTCTACTTGAGTCTTCAATGCAGACATTTTATTATCAAATGGTTGCTTTTATAATTTTTCTGATCTTAAGTGGAGGCTTGGATTATATGGCTCTAATGATATTATTCAAAATTTAAAAGAGCAATTGCTATTTAATGTCCTTGTAGAATATAGCGAAAATCCCCAATCTGTTTGCAATTCACTATGTATCCCCAAAATGGTTAGATGTTAGTCAGCAGTCTGTCTAATGTTCTGTGGTTGACAGACATGACCAGGTGCACAGATCTATACTGTTATTGGATGGTTTTTCACCCGCCTCATATGTATATGGTATTACCATAATTTCTGTTAGTGATATGTACTCTAATTGCATGTTAGCAGCAGGCAATTGTTCTTAAGATGGGAATCGGAAGCTGTATATTGTTCATTGAATTTTTCCAGATTTAATGTCACGGGATTCTTTAGCGTCAATAGCTGACCGCATTGCCTTTATTCAATCAGGGCCCTGGGGTACAAAGAAACTTCATCCTTGATGCTGCTTTAAAGGTAATCTCTTTAACAAAATAAACATGCTAGTTTGCATTTTCCTTTATTTAACTACTTTTTATATCATTTTAGTAAATAATACAGATTAACGTGCCTTACATGATAACTACAGTTACCGATGCTTCGGCAAGTATCGCTAGACTTGTGTGATGCAAGTGAAGGTGATTTTGACCTTCCTGATGTAAGTTAAAAGTCTACTTTTTTCTCAGTTATTACTTTGCAGGTGCTGAATAAGTTTGGACGTTGTATGTATAAAATTTACTTAATCCATAGTGTCAATGTCTCTGCTATTCTCTTTATTAAGTTTCATGACGCTTTGTTGATTTACTATGATCCTTTACAACTTTTAATCGGTTACTGACAGATATTGAAGCGAAACAAATGATCATGATTCTTTAGTTTGTTTGTTTGGGCAATTTAGTTCATCCTAGGCCAATGAACTTAACTTTGTATTGTGATTAAAGGTATAAATGACACATTAGTATTTGCAAGCTACTTAAATTCGATTGGAATAAAGCTCGAATTTGATTCGATTATTATTGAGTCGAGCTCGAATTCAAGTAGTTTGACTTATCGATTGAGTTAAATTTGAGCATTTTTATATCTGGCTTAAGTAATTCGCAAGCTTAATCAAATTTTTATATTTTAATATATTTTTGTTATTTCAATTAATAAAATTTTTCAAACTCTAGTTCAAGCTTAAACACAAATAATTGAGATTTTGTTGAATATAAGAATCGAGTTTATTTTTATATATTAATCGAATTTAATCAAGTGAGTTTGAGTAACTTGATTTCTAATTGAGCGAGTTTGAATAGTTTTATTTTTATTTTGAGTTGAACTCGAGCTTAATATTATATCGGTTCGAATTTAATTGATTACACCCCTAATTGTGATATTGTTAAATCTATCTCAGGATGAGGATGAGTCTGACAGGTATTCTTTAAGAAGTGTGAAAATAGCGAGATGCAAGTCTGGAAGATGCAATGCAGGCTCCCACTTTGCAGAGGTTCTTGCAAAGCCAGCGCATAGGGAGACATTAGTACTGGTATGGAACAGCAGAAATCTAGTTAGAACAGTGGTGAAGGAAAGACTATAGCCTTTGTCTACTTTTGGAATCAAACCCAATGCAAACTTTGAATCTCAACTCCTCAACACTGATTTTTATTATTATTATTATTATTATTATTATTATTATTATTTGTGGATACTTTATTTTGTTACTAATATTTTATTCTTATAAATTTCTCTGAAATTATTAAAGTTGATGATAAGTTAGAATAGAAAAAAAATTCAGTGAAAGTCATTTTAACAGTTATTTATGAAACAATTTTTTAACAAAATAACTGTTCATAGAACAATTATTCAATGAACAATTCTTTCGTGAAACTACTTTACGAAATAGTTATTCTTGAAACAATTTCTTTAAGAAATAACATTGATATAATGAAAACTTTTACTAAAAGTTATTTCATAAAAAGTTATTTTATAAAAGACATCAAATGTTATTTCACTGAATGAAGAAATAAAAATAATTTTGTAATATGGTAGAGTTTTTGGGTTAATTTTATTATTGGGATGTTTGGGAAAGCCTAGCTTGGTGGATCATATATGAAGATAGTTAAAAAGTTTTTTCTTAACATTTTCTTGAAATATGAGTGTTTCTTGCTTTTTTTAAAAAAAAAAAAATAGATAGTGAACTTTTATATTTATTATACTTATCATTAAAAAGTTAATTAAACTCTTATTAAATAATATATTAATATCTTTTATAACAATTAATTATCTCATTATTTACCATTATTCATATTCAATTCTCATGTTATGTAACTCCTATTTTGAAGACCCATATATAAAACCTCCCACAACTCGTTTAGGGACTTTTGAGACTTTTGACAAATTTATTCAATTTTTTTTACGATTTTTTTTTTCTAAATCTTTTTTTTAGTCTTATTCTCTTTCCTAATCAATTTTGCTTCACCACTTATTACCACTTGTCGTTGTACTCAATATTTCAAGGTTTGTTTCAATCTTCCTCTCTATCGTCTCTCAGCATATTTTGTTTTACTTATTTGCAACACTTCTTCACCTTAACAAAAAACTCTTATACATTTTAGTGACTCCACTGAAAAAGCGATTGCTTAGGGTAGAACTTCACCAGAGATATGATATAAGCAAAAATCCTAATCTCATAAGAATACTCAATGGTAGAGAAATAATTTGGTTAGAATATTTATTCTTTTATATTAGAAGTTTAATTAGTTACAAATGTTTTAATTTTCACATTTTACTATTTTTCAACTATCTAAGATTTTTTTACTATTATTATTTAGTGCATACACATTTAAGAATTTCAATTAATTGATAAAAAGCTTAATGTGAAAATAATAAAAAAGCCAACAAATGTCTATTCTAATGCATGCTCTTGTTTTAAATATTACAAAAGTGATGAAAATGTTTACCTTTTTATAACTTTAAGAAAAAGTCATTAAGCGAAATTGTGTTGAGAGTTTTTTTTAGTTGTATATGAGATTAATTTTCAAAATCAAATTGAGATACAAAATTGATGTGATCCTTGTGTTGAATCAAGTTTTATTTGCCGTAATTTAACAATTCATGCTTTGAAATCAAATTAATCTCCTTGGTACTAAATGGAAAAAAAAAATTATCTCTTAATACATAGTAGACTTTGATCTCTTTCTTTTTGGGTTAAGAATTCACCTCCCTAGTATGAAATTGAGAATCAATTTTTGATCGTAGCTTTATCGCTCATTCTTTAGCCACTATTCTATTATTGATACTTGCTATTAAGTGAACCTTCTTAGTACCAAGTTAAGAATTATTTTCAAATTGAAAATTTTTCTTTGATCACAACTAGATCATTCATTCTTTGACTGTAACTTTATTGTTTATAGTTGCTATCAAGTGAGTTCCCTTGATATTAAGTTGAGAATTATCTCTCTCTTATGACTTGAAAATATAATTATTGGCAACAACTTTATCTTGTATTTCTTGGCCTCAATTTCTTAAGTACTAAGATGTAAATCATTTCTCTTGATGCTTTTGGCTGAACTTCATCGTTTTTATTTGAATTGAACATCTCCTTTGTATTGGGTTGAGAAATTATCTCTCAAATATGAAATCGAGAGTTCTCCTTGGCCATGCACACAATTACATCATTGTTAGTATTATACACCTTATCTACCTCATAAGTAAAGATATTAAAATTACAATGAAATGTTAATATTATCAAGACTTTTTGAATATCAAAGTTGAAAAATGTCATGAATACTACATCATGTGCATATTGTTATATCATATATTTTTTATATGCTAAGAAGTTCACCTTGCTATAGAAATAATCTGCATATGAAACGCTTAAAAACTCTTTGAAATATAGTGGAGCAAAAATGCATTGTGCATACATATGATGACACAAATTTCAAAGAATAGTTAATTCCAAACTTGAAATTTTTCCTAAAAAAAATCTTCTAAAAGAAGTGAAACATCTTAAATCTTACTATTTTATTCAATTTACGTACAAGTTCTTCCAATAAAAAGTCTTATGGTCTTGTACAAATTTTGTCACTATCACATATTAAATATTTTAAAGAGAAAATTTTGTAGTATTGCATCACTCTCGTTTCGAAGCTCTTCCCAATAAACAAAAGTTTGATGTTGTGATCTATTAAGTTTCTTCTATCACTCTTCTAAAAAGAGAAAGTTACATGCTACTCTCATATGCAACTTTTTCTTGAAATGAAATTGATTGATAAAGTATTTTCTACTACTACATTACCTTATATACAAGTACTTCAAAAAAATTGATTATTAAAGTCTTCTATATTACTTTCTTATTGTTACTACTTTACTCTTATATAAAAAAAAAAATTCCAAAATAAATCAATTGAGAATTGAAATCTCTTGCATACTTTTTATTGTGAAAATTTTTTTATGCAATAGCTCAAAAAACATCATCATTATCTTAAAAAATGTTTCACTCATACTTGTGTGTCACTTCAAGAATTTTTTAATAAAAATGCATTTCTTGCATTATTCCAATAAATGCTTTAAAAAAAAAAGCTTTTTGTTTAATACCTTAAGATAGCTTTTATGTGTTATTTTTAAAAATTGCTTATTTTATGCACAACATCATAAAAAATTATTTTTGCCATTACTTGTCTAAGAAACACCTAGCCAATAATTGTGTTTCATTTTAAAAGGTATTTCTTAAGAAGAGAATTTCATGCATAACTTTAAAAGTTCTTTTCATAATAAATTTTCATGAATTATCTTATAATATATTTTCATTGCATTACTCAAAAAAGCAATTCTCATTTAAAAAAAAAATTCTTTTGATATACTCTCTTGATATCTTAACAAGTATTTCACATTTATTTATATAAAAGCTATTTTTTATTATTCAAAAGTATTCTTAAAATATTAATGCATATTTTTAGGAGATGCTTCTCATGAAATACTTCTCATTACTTATCATTTTTTTAAAAGGTATATCTCATTCATACTTCCATATTGAAATGCTTTTTTACATCTAAAAGATGATTCCTAAAAACAAATTTGTTAGGTGTTGTTTCAAAAAATTTTCGATTATAATTTTTGAGAAGTACATCTCTTACATTCTTATAAGGAATGTTTCTTACATTTCAAGGGGTGATTGTCATGAAATATTTATTTATGTATAATTTAAATAAAATCTACCTAAGAAACATTTGTTACCTAGCATTATTAAAAAAAAAAAGAAAGTTTTAACATGCTACTTCAAAAACCACTTCTTATGCACTCTCTAAAATATATTTTTAAAAAATTATTATGTACTTGCATTTTTTCTCAGAGGAACTCTTTCTATATTGTTTTACAAAGAGTTTCCTAGTATTCAAAATAAATATTTTTCTTTACAAAGTATTCCTTGAACACACTTTCAAGAAATGTTTTGCATAAAGAATTTTTCATTTATCATTCTTTAAAGAGTTATTCTCATACATTACTTTGCAAAGCTTTTTTCATTAAAAAAAAAAAATCTCAAACTACTAGCATATCATCTTAAGAAACAGTTCATGAGTAGAACCATTCTTAAAAAAAAAAAAAGTGATTCAATTTGTCATGTGCTTTTAGCTATCTTGATTTATTTTAAAAAAATAAAGCTAATGTTCATTGCTTGTTCTCTTAAACAATACTTGATTTACAATATTTGTTCTTTATTTCTTTTAGAGAAGTATTCTCATGACTTATTCTTTTATTTTTTTAGGAAAATATTTTTATTATTTGTTCTACTATTTTTAAGAAAGTATTCATTTTACTTGTTCTGTTAAGTATACATTCTTATTACTTATTTTTCTATTTTTAAGGGAAACATTCTTATTAATTGTTTTCTTATATATTTCTTACTTATTCTACTATTTTTTAAGGAAAAACTTTGTTTACTTATTCTCCTATTTTCCCATTTTTTTTAAGGAAATATATTTCTTACTTATTCTACTATTTTTTAAGGAAAAACTTTGTTTACTTATTCTCTTATTTTCCTATTTTTTTTAAGGAAAAACTTTCATTACTTATTCTCCTATTTTTTTAAGGAAACACTCTTATTACTTGTTCTCTTATTTTTTGAAAAATATTCATATTACTTGTTTTCTTAATTTTTCAGATAAACACTCTTATTACTTGTTCTTCTATTTTTTAGAGAAACACTCGCATTACTTATTCTCTTATTTTTCTTAAGGGAACCACTCTTATTACTAATTTTCTAATTTTTTAGAGAAATTCTTTCTATTTTTTGAGAAAACACTCACATTACTTGTTCTTCTATTTTCTTAAAAAAAAAAACACTTTCATTACTTGTTCTCTTTGTTTTATGGAAACACTCCCATTATTTGTTGTATTTGACAATTCTTTTATTTTTTAGAGAAACACTAATGTTATGGCTTACACTTTTATACATTACCTATCTCACAAGTAATTCTTTCATTTATAACATTAAAGTTTATTTATTTTATACATGGAACATTCTTTGATCTTTATCAAAGAAATTCCATGTTGGGGCAATGGACCCTCCTATGCACAATGCACAATCAAAATATACATATTTTTGAATGAGGCATACATTATTCATCATTTACTTTTCATTACACTAGTACATGAAAACTTCTTATATTAAGAATTCTCATGCAAGGGGCAAACTTATATCATTCATCTTTAAAATTATGAGAATAAATATATCTTATATATTAATTTTACTCTTTAATTGTATTGGTGCATGAAAATTTCTTGTTTTAAGAATTCTCAAGTAGGGGCAAAATATAGATACTTGATTTTAGTTACTAATATTTTATTCTTATAAAATTTTCTAAAATTGTTAAATTAGGGATAAATCAGAATTGATGATAAGATTGTTTTAGTGAAAGTTATTTTACGGAACAATTATTTATGAAACAATTTTTTCACAGAATAATTATTCA